TAGGGAGACACTGGTGGTTTGCAGTGGGCTGGAAGGAGCAGATGGGTTTGATTTTTGTTTTATTGATGCTTTCCTTCACTATGCAAAAATTTTTAGTTTGATGTAAGCCCAATTTTATTTTTTATTCGTTGGTTTTGGGGTTTTTTTGCTTTTGTTTTCCTTGGAGGAGACAGATCCCAAAAAATATTGCTAAGTTTGATGTCCAAGAGATTACTTTCTGTTTTCTTATATTAGTTTTATGGTTTTAGGTCTCACACTTAGGTCTTTAATCTATTTTGAATTTATTTTGTGTATTGTGTAAGGTGATTCAGTTTCAATATTTTGCATATAGTTGTCCAGTTTCCTCAGTACCATTAATTGAAGAGACAGTACTTAATTGTGTATTTTTGCCTCCTTTGATGTAGATTAATTGACCATATAAACATGGGCTTATTTCTGGGCTCTCAATTTTGTTCCACTGATCTATGTATCTATTTTTGTGCTAATACCATTCTGTTTTAATTACTACAGCTTTGTAATATAATTTGAAATCTGGGATTGTGATACCCTCAGCTTTGTTCTTCTTTTTCAAGATTGTTTTGGCTATTTAGGGGCTTTTTTGTTTCAGACAAATTTTTGGATTTTTTTGTTGTTATAGTTCTGAAAAAATATTGTTGATATTTTGATAGTGCATTAAATTAGTAGGGTGCTTTGGGTATTATAGACATTTTAAGAATATATTCTTCTGGAGCACCTGGGTGTCTCAGTCATTAAGCATCTGCCTTTGGCTCAGGTCAGACAATCCCAGAGTCCTGGGATAGACCCCCCACATCATGCTTTCTGCTCTGCGGGAAGCCTGCTTCTCCTTTCCCACTCTCCCTGCTTGTGTTCCCTCTCTATCTCTCTCTGTCAAATAAATAAATATCTTTTTTTTTTTTTTAAAGAATATATTCTTCCAATCCATGAGCATGGTATATTTTTCCCATGTATTTGTGTCATCTTTGAGTTCTGTCATCAGTGTCTTATGGTTTTCAGAAGATAGGTCCTTCACCTCCTTGGTTAAATTTATTCCTAAATATTTGATTATTTTTATGCAATTGTAAATGGGAATTTCTTCATTTTCCTTTCTGTTATTTCATTATTAGTGTATAGGAATGCAACATATTTCTGTATCTTGATTTTGTATTACACAACTTCCCTGAATTAACTTATTATTTTTTTAAAAGATTCCTTTTAGAGGGGCGCCTGGGTGGCTCAGTGGGCTAAAGCCTCTGCCTTCAGCTTGGGTCATGATCCCAGGGTCCTGGGATCGAGCCCCGCATTGGGCTCTTTGCTCAGCGGGGAGCCTGCTTCCTCCTCTCTCTCTCCCTGCCTCTCTGCCTACTTGTAGATCTCTGTCTGTCAAATAAATAAATAAAAATCTTAAAAAAAAAAAAAAAAAAGATTCCTTTTAGAGAAAAAGAGTGTGCTGAGGGAAGGGGCAGAAGGAGAGGGCAAAAAAGAATCCTAAGCAGGCTTCACACCCATGACAGGCCTCATGTGGGGCTTGATCTCATGACCCTGAAGTCATGACCTGAGCCAAAATTAAGAGTCAGATGTTTAACTGACTGAGCCACCTAGGTGCCCCTGAGTTAATTAATTAATTCTAACAGGTTTTGGTGGAGTCTTTAGTATATATAGTATCCTGTTCTCTGCAAATATTGACAGTTTAACTTCTTATCAATTTGGATGTCTTTTCTTTTGTCTGATTGCAATTGTTAGGACTTCCAATAAAACCTTGAATAAAAGTGGCAAGAGTGGACATCCTTGTCTTATTCCTGATCCTAAAGGAAAAGCTGTTTTTCATCATTGAGTATGTTAGCTGTGGGTTGATATAGATGGCCCTACCACAACTGGGGTATGTAGTGTGTTAACATCCCTTACTATTATTGTATTACAGTCAGTTTCTCCCTTATGTTTATTAATAATTTGCTTTATATAGTTAGGTGTTCCTAAATTGGGTGCATAAATATTTACAATTGTTACATCTTCTTGGATTGATCCCTGTATCAATATGTAATGACCTTTTTTTCTCTTGTGACAGTCTTTGTTTTAAAGTCTATTTTATCTGAACATTGATACCCCAGCTGTAGGGTTTGTTTTGTTGTTCTTTTGGGGGTTTTTTTGCTTCCATTTACATGAGGTAACTTTTTTCTGTATCTTCCTTTTAATCTTTATATGTCTTTATGTCTAAAATGAGTGTTTTGTAGGTAGCATATAGATGGGTCTTTGGGTCTTGCTCTTTTTATCCATTCTGTGTCTTTTGATTGGACCATTTAGTGCATTTACATTTAATTATTGGTGTGTTCATTGTCATTTTGTTAACTTTTTTTCCCCTGTTCCTTTCTTCTTTTGCTCTCCTCTCTTATGATTTGATGGCTTTCTTGAGTGTTATGCTTAGATTCCTTGCTCTTTACCTACTATAGGCTTTTGGTTACCACTGGGTTCGTATGTAGCATCCTATGTGTGTACAGCAGTCTATATTGGGTTGATGGTCACTTAAGCTCAAACACGTTTTAAAAGCATGGAATTTTTACTCCCTCCATATTTTATGTATATGATTCTATATTTTATGTATCCCTTGACTAATTTTTGCATATATTTACTACTTTAGTGTTTTAATATCCTTACTGGCTTTGTGATTGAAGTATTACCTTTACTATGTTTACTTTTCCCAGAAAAAGGTTTTCCTTTCATAATTTTCTTCTAGTTATGGTCTTTTCTTTCTACTTAAAGAATTCCCTTTAACATTTCTTGTAAGGCCAGATATAGTGTTCTTGGTAGTCAGCTTTATCCTGTCAGCACCTTGCGTGTATCAAACACTCCTCTAGACTGTAAAGTTTCTGCAGAAAAATCAGAGGATAGCTTTATGGGGCTCCTCTTGTATGTAACTGTTTACTTATCTCTTGTTTTTAAGATTCCCAATTCATCTTTAATTTTTGCCATTTTAATTGTTATCAATCTTGGTGTGGACATCCTTAGGTTCTTCTTGTTTGGGGCTCTGTTTCCTGGAACTGAATGTCTGTTTCCTTCCCCAGATTTGGAAAGTTTTCAGATGTTATTTCTTCAAGAAGTTTTGCTGACTTCGTCTCTCTCCTCTCCTTCTGGGAAGGAATAATGTTGTTATTATGCTGGTGACGTTGCAGAGGTCTCTTACTCTGTCATTATTCTTTTCCCTGTTCAGCCTGTCTTCCAGATCCCTGATCCATTCTTCTGTATCCTCTCATCTATTGATTCCACTAGTGTATTGCTCATATCAGCTTTTGTATTCTTCACCTCTGATTGTTTTTATCTTTTCAATCTCTCTTGAAGTTCTGAGTTCATCCACTCTTCTCTCAAAGTCCAGTGAGTATCTTTATGACCATGACTTTGAACTCTTTATCAGGCATATTGCTTATCTCTGTTTTGTTCTTTTTCTGTGATTTTTCTTTCATTTAGGACATATTCCTTTGTGTCATTTTGTCTAACTCTGCATTTGTCTATATATTAACTACTTAATACATAGTTATGTCTCCTGATCTTGAAAGTAGTGGCTTTGTGTAGAAAGGGCCCTGTTGTAAACTGTTCCTAGGCACTAGAACCAAGCACTTCAGGGGTGTTCCCTGTGTGGACTTCATGTGCCCTCCTGTTGTGCCTGAGCTATAACAACTCTAAGTGCCCTGTGAGGCCTGGTTGCAGTCAGTAGTGGGGGCACTGGTGGCTAGGGTTTGCTTTCTGGACTGCTGGTTTAGAGGCCTAGCTGCAGTCACCATAGCCTCACTGGCGGGCAAGGTTGGCACTCAGCCCAGCTATTTGCATAGTAATGAGCCACTGTGACTACTGCATGTGTGCTGGTGCAGAGGGTTTGCATCCCGCCCCTGCCCAGGGCAGGTCCATCAAGGAATGATGTGGTGGGGCATATAGTGCTAGCTAGCAAGGTAGATTGAAGAGTGCTAGAACTGACTCCTGAAAGCCTCTGGCTATCTAGGCTGAGGAAAGGCAAGAAAAATGGTGCCGGCCAGCACTTTTATTTCCAGAAAAAAATGCTGCAGATCCCTGCCCCACTGACCCATGCCCTAAAATTAGTTAATAAATCTCCACGTATAGCCCAGGTACTTTTCGAACCCTGTCTTACACACTGTGTGTTGGGCCGTTGTTTGGCTTGTTGGCTCTTTAAGGGTGGAGACTCCGTTTCTTACAGCTCTCCAGGTCTGCTGGAGGTAAGCCTTGCTGATTTTGAAAGCCAGACATATGGATACTCCCCTTCCCGGTGCAGGATTGGTGGTATTTGGTGTGGGCTGTGATCCCCTTGCTCCTCTGTGCTTATGATGTCCCTCCTGTGTGTGGGTAGTTGTGCTGGGGTTTGGTTCCATATTGCATTTCTGCTCCTTCCTTTCTCAGTGTAGCCTTCTCTCTGCTATTAGCTGTGGAAGATCTGTCAGTCTTTCAGGTCATTCTTCAGAATTAGTTGCGTAGATGTTGTTGCTGCCTCTATGGGATAAAGTAAGCTCAAGATCTTCCTATTGCTACCATGTTTGAGCTCTGGAAAGTGTCTTGAATTCCCTGTGTACACCCGAGTTTCACCTGGGTCTGGAACTATTTGTTTTTACACCTACTCATGTACTGCCACTTCTGTTACTAATCTGATATGCAGTTCAACTTCTTACCCATTCACCTTTCTCAGAGGAATATGGTGATGTCACACAGGTATTCTGAGTCAGTGGGGTTTAACTAGGTGGGGGCAGCGGAAGCAGTACAATTGCTTTTTTTTTTCCTGTGGGTGGAGGGGAGAGGGCACTCAGAGGCTGGTTTGTATTTTTTTTTTTTTAAGTTCCATAAGTGTTTTGATATAAAAATCTTAATCTGTTTTAACTTTTTGATAGATTTGCTATTTATCCTATTTTGGTTTTAGGCCAAATCAGAAGAATTGCTTTTCTTATAAACATCGTTAGTGAATAAACCAACTTTTAATTTAGATATTAGCACTGTGCTTTTTCTCATAGGTATCCTCTTTGAGAAATGAAAAGCGAGGCTCATCATATCTCATCTCTGCCCCAGAAGGTGGTTCTGTGGAATTTGTTGACCAGCATTCTCAGGGCACAGGAGCATATTACATGGAAACCTACTTAAAAAAGAAGCGCGTATACTGAGTTAAGTTCTCTTCTCATAACCTCATAAGGTTTTTGCAGTATCTCTGCTGTTCATCGCTGCCTTAACTACATTCAGACTAGCCATATCCTTTAAATACGGGTTTCTAATTTCCCAGAAGGAACTGTATCGTGCAGCAAGCAGAATTGCCAAATAAAAAATAAGTAGCAATAAGATAAGACAATGGAGGACATTTTCCATTACAATTAGATGCATCTTAATTGGTATTAACTTATAGTCCATTGGAGAAAGTAACAATGTTCCAATATTCCTTGTTTAGGACTGGGAATAATTTTGACACCATATATAAAAGTATGAAGCAATAAATGGGAAACGGTCTTGTTTCCTGAGCCTTAGAAGAATGAATTTCTTATATGCCAATGTGCATTTCAATCTACTTTCCCTAGAAGTAATCTCATTTGTAGATTTTTAGACCTTTTCCTAGAACTACAAGAGTGCAAGTACAAAATGCAGTGCTGGTAGTGTTAAAAAGATGCTCTACATGCAAACTAATTACCCTACATCAGCCCTGCAATATAAAACCCAGAGTGACAGTGATGTCCAAGTTCTACACAACTACAGATGCTTTACTTTTAATGTTCTTTACCTACCATTTATACCTTTTGTGAGAAACGAGCTATTTTTGAAAAAAAAAAAAAAAAAAAAGTAGCTTTGGTGAAATAATTTCAGGGGTTGGCAGACTACACCCTGGGGTCAAGTTCAGTCCTCCACCTGTTTTTATACTGTCTGCAAGCTAAGACTGAGGTTTACATTTTTAAATGAAGTAGAACAGATTTGAATTAAGTCCTGTGAAATTCAAATTTCAGTGTCCATATATGAAATTTTATTGGAACACAAACATGCTCATTCATTTACATACTATTAGAGCTACTTGTGTGCTACAGTGGCAGTGCTGAGTAGCTCTGACCGAGACCACATGGACTGCAAAGCCTAAAATATTTATTGTCTGGGCCTTTATGGGGGAAAGTGTGCAAACCCCTGGTCTAATGGCACTAATTCCCTAATCCTTTAACTTCTGCAACAGACTTGCAATTGGCAAGCAATGTAGGTTTCTATGTCTGATTTCATGGCATAAACCAATGATGATCTAATTGCTAGAACAAGGCCTATTTTGATCCTCAAATGCCCTATTTCCCCCGTATAGTTCAACAGTCAATACTGCTCTTTCTGGAGGAGCACTATGGAGTAACAAATAGAACAGTTTTGAGCTAGTGAGTTATACCTCATTTTCTGCTTTGTCTCTTATTCTTTTGTAGTGTTAGGCTGAAAAATTATCAGCCATTTAAGTCAATTTACTTCGGCAAGAATTGTGTTTATTGCATATAACTTTTGACATCACCATTTCCCCGAAGACTTTGGTATTAAACACATGAGAAACCCTTTGCCACCTAGAAGTTTCCAGGTTTGTTCCTTATGATCCTAGTCTTTTTGAAATCAGATCATTACATATCTTCGAATAAGTACCCTATTCTAATGACCAAGTTTAAAATTGGTACATATGACTTTTAAAGAAATTGGTCTAATTTGTTTCATACATTAACTTCTACTTGAAAGTGACAGCTAGAAAGTTAATTACTAAGGATTGGCATCACTCAGTTATGACTCAGCAGATGCATAATGGTTTCTCCATGTTCTGCGCTTCTCCTTCCCATTTCCTATCACATTAAGCATCTTCGGTGCTTAGTCATACCTCTGATAATACAACCAGCAGATGGTGAATTTTAAGTCAGAGCTGCAAAATGAAAGCAGGAAGAGGGTGAAAGAACTAAGTACGTTGGATGATAGCCCATGGGGATCTGCCCTGTCACTGGATAGAACAGATAAGTACAAATCAAGTGGTGTTTGTATTAAGGACCACTACCAAACTCCCCACCCTGCTGCAACGTCTATACTGTTATTTTTCTATGTAAACAAATTGTTTGAATGCTTTGAAAGTGAAATCTTAATATTAAAAGGCATATGCATGTGAAGTCTCTAGTATATTTATTTGTATAAAGAGTAAACAAAGTGCATATAGAGTGGCCACAGGTTTGACACAGACAGAGACCTTGGTGATGTCGGGTTATTGAGTAAATTTAAATGGCAAGTTTATTGCTGCCATTGAATCAATCCAGAACGCTCTTTCAGGCTCAACAGGTGAAAAGTAATGATCTCAAACAAATGCTAGACAGCATTAACAAAAAGTTTTTCAGACTCTTGGTCAAGTTCTTAGGGTTCACATTGAATCAGAGATTAGACACTTTTGATCACCCAGCTACCTCCAAGCAAACAGAAAACTGTCTAGTAGCTGCTGAACTCTTGCAGGTGGATGGTTAGGCACGGAAACACGGACTGGTTGCACACAGCCTCCAAAGCCAATGCTGCAACAGCTCGCCGCACAGTGGTCGAGTTAGCAAAGGACTGACAGGAGCATTTCTGAAAAGCACATAGGCTAGCATCCAGGGTCTTGGAGTCCATTCTGCCTAAAGGGCTCCTGGGTAGGAAAGCGCTGCCACAGGCCTGGTTCTCAAGAGTCAACAGCAGCAGTCTCTATCCCGCCGCCGTCCCCGGTTCTGACCAGTTTCCTCAGGCGTCAGTGCGGCTGGTCACCCGTGGGGATAAGAGCAAAGCCACTGAAGAAAAAGTTTAAGCCCTACTGGTGACAGGAATACACTCAGCTTTATATAGAAACAGTCTACTAACTGCTATCTAATATTTCAAGAATGCCTGGGCTAGCACTGTAGAGACCCTGAAATCTGAGGGCATGTCCGAGTACTGGCAACATCCGTCAACCTCTCTCTGCAGGAAAGCATTTCTGACCAGCCGGGAACAGGGCTGCTGTTGGCTCCCCTCATTTTCTGGTAAGCAAGCGGGGCAGGGCACCAGCCAAACAGCATGGTGCTTTCCGTTCTTTCCAAAAGGAGGAGTGCTTAAGTGCTTTCTATTGTTTCTACTGTTTGTGTTACAGGGGCCAAATTTCAAGAGGGAAGTACTTACACATAATAAGCACCACAGTGTGCCTTACATACCCAAATACAAATTTTTTCCATTAAAAATTTTAAATGGCTTGGGTACTGGTTGGGGAAGGAGGACTTGATACACAGGAGTTTAAATGTTACTCATGCTTCTTATTTTAAAAGTGCTTCAAATCCTTCGATAAGGTTCTGAAAAGTTGTCCGATTGGATGGTTGGAACTCCCAGCATTTTCTCATAAGTTGATAAACCTGTAAGAAGAGGGGAAAAAAAAAAACTTTTTGGAAATGGACTTATTACTCAAAGTACTATTGATGAACAATATCTATCTTGAGAAGCTCATGAATCGACCTTCCAAAAAGTCCAGGTCATCACATCTCAGTGTAGATGCTAAATGTCCTCAGTGGTTGTTCTCTGATGCATACAAACTCTTCAGTGCATCTCCAACAGTCTTAAGAGTTGGCCTTAAAGGCTCAAATCACTTTAGAATACAAAAAACTGAATGTCATAAATGCTACTGACGAACATGCAATTATAGCTGACCCGCGTACAACACGGATTCAACTGTGCACGTCCAGTTATATACCGTTTTTTCAATAAATATGATCTAGTGCTATAAATGTATTTTCTCTTACCATTTTTTTCTCTTGTTATCAGTAAAGCTCCTGGTCAACAGAAGTCTTAAGTTTTGGGTAATCAAAAGTCACCTCCCTTAATCCCATGTGAGTCAACTCTCTATGAGCGGGTCACATTTGGGCTACACCAGACTGTGCTCCTGTGATCCTTGAGGGTGCTCACTGAGGTGAGCCTACTTTTAGAGGGAATCCTTACTTTAAACAGAACTTGTGGCTGTCACCTGCCCCAAAGATGGTTTTTCAGATGTCTGATCTGAAATTCAGCTTCAGAAAATTACTTAAAAAAAAAAAAAAACTTTTTTACTTCTTCCCACCCCTCCACCCAAACCCATGCTGGATAACTCAAGCCCTGAAAACATACATAAATTGAATGTTACTGTAAAATGGCCCCCAAATACCTCATCTGGACAGTGAAGTGGACAAGGCAAACGTTTTCCTTCTTTTAATGTATTCACAAGTCTTGTGACTGTCATCTGGCCATGAGTTGGGCCTATCATTTTCAGGAACAACTATGTAAAATCAAACCAAACCAAATATTTTAGTACATATTTATATCAACAGATTAAGATTTCTAGAATCTCAATTTCTGGAAATTAAGATAATAAAAAGGCTTTTCTCCTTAGTAATTATTTTTCCTAGATTTTATTAGAGGAGGGAGAGGGAGACTCCCTGTTGAGCAAGGAGCCTGATGCAGGGTTAGATCCCTGGACCCTGAGATCATGACCTGAGCCGAAGGCAGATGCTTAACCCACTGAGCCACCCAGGCCTCCCTCTCCTTAGTAATTTGAAATGCAAGCCCAGAATCTTGATTAGCTCTCAGTGATTAGTCTGTAATCATGCTCTCAGACTTTACCAAACCATCCCTTCCCCTGACTGAAGAGCCAGTCTCAGTGAAAATGATCTCATTAATGAATACCTGAGGCTCAAATAAGGCCCTCCCCCTTATTCTCCCAGGAAACTGTCCCTGGACTCCTCACACAGGTAAGATCCTTGAAAGTTAAGCAGCATTTTTCTAGAACTTGAGCTTCTTGTGAAATGAGGACTTGAGAGGGCCACAAGTGTCAAGTGACAAACCATGTTAAATGGAGAAGTGATACTTTCCACTGCAACACCCTAACTGGATTCCATTTAAGAACAAAATTTACACATTTTCAATGGGTGCCAGGTGTGGACAAAGGGACAAAGAAGCCTTACCGCCATGGGGCTGTAATCTGAGTCGCAGTAAGTAAGCAACTCATGCAGAGTCACTCCAAACGACCAGACATCAGAGGCGATGTAAAATTTACACTGAATTAAACATTCGGGAGCATACCTGAAAGAAAGCAGACCATGAAACTACAGAGCAACTCCAAAAAATCACTCCTTCGGCTTCTCTCAGCGTTGAACATTCTGATCACACATCTGCTGAAGCACACATCTGACCTGAACACCACCACCATCACAGGCTCGCCGTGGCACACGTCCACTCTGAAGTAGTAGACAGTTCGTGCTCTCCGCTACACAGAGCAGGTGCTGTCCATGTGGAGGAGGCAGAGGATGACATGCCCCAAGTGTTCTTGGCAAGTTCAAAATTAGTTAGCAGTGACCTCACCGTGCAGCCTTCTTCCAAGGTCCGCTGCCTCGGTGGAGGGGAATCAAATTCCCGCGCCAGAAACGAAGGCACCCCCGTATCCAATCTCCCAGATGCTTCTCAAACCTACTCCATTCTCTTAAGCCCCACCTTCACGTCCTAACCACTGCCCTAGTTCACACCCTCACTGGCTCTGGCTGAATCAGACTCCCTGACTCCAGTCTCGCTCCCCTCCCATCCCCAGTGGTCTTTTTAAAGCAACAGCTGCCATTCTTACCCCTCCAGCGATATATCCCAACGCTCAAAGCTGGACTGCCAGCTCTGCGGCTCCACTTCCAGGGCTCCGCCGGAGCAGTCCTCGAGCGCGCCCACTTCGGGATGCGGCCCCACCGAGCGGATTCTGATGCGGGTCCCAGGATATTCACTGCTCTCGTCTCACTCCTGCTAGTCACACATGCTTTCTTCTACCAACCTTACGAACCCACTGGATCTTTTAAAGCCTTAACAGGACTTCCAGAAAACTGAGCCTGAACCCTCCTCTGCTTTTACCACCATGAAACCGGCTGCCTGACCCATTCAATTCTAAACTCAGTCTGCTTGCTCTTCTGCCAGCAGATCTTCCGCACGGATCTTTTGCACCCGGCACAAAGTCTGGCCCTGATCCACATTCATGAGGGAACGAAGGCTTAGGCTCCTCGGGTGGAGAGATCCAGGCTTGTGTCCATGCAGGATACACCTCGGAGGTGCTCTTTTGTTCCACAGGAGCCTTGGAGTAGGGGCCTAAAGAACTTCTCCCTTGGATGGCATTCCAGGCTGCAAGGGGTCACAGGGTGCACCCTCCTGACCAAGACACCCCGGTGATCCCTGAGCAGACAGCCAAGTTCCCTGTGGACTGTGCTCTGCTCTGCTCTGCGCTGTCTGGGATCTCCCTGAATCTGTCAGCGCCCACTTCCTCAACTCATTCCCGCCACTTCCTCCTTCCTACCCTTCAGGCGTCCTGCACAGGCATGCGACCCCTGCAACTACTAACGGTTTCAAGGACCGTGTCAGAGGAATGCCCTCTCCTGGGAAGCTGGCAATGCTCAGCCACCAGGCGGCTGGCATCCCCCACTCCTTGGAAGATGGTGTCGGATGAACTCAGGCATTTCTGTGTGGGATGCCTGCAGTGAAACAGCCTAACAGGTGTTTCTCAAAGGCACAGATCAATCAATTCCAAATGTGGGAAGTTGTTCCTAACCTACACTGGGGCAGGAGGACCGAGACATTAACATAACATTAGATTCAGTTACCAAAACACAGGGCTGTCCCGATCATCCTTGACGGTGTAGTACTCTTTGTCAGTTTCGATTGCTTTGGTCAAACCAAAGTCTCCAATTTTCACTTGGTGCTCACTCTCGACGAGGACGTTTCTTGCTGCCAAGTCCCGGTGAACATACTGCCGAGAACCCAAATAGTCCATCCCCTGAGGGAGAGAGGTGGAGGGAGAGTGCGTTTGCTAAAGGTCGGTTCAGGTTCTGTTTTGTATCCATCACTGCTTCCCGAAAAAGCACCGTCATTTCATTTACCTGTCACTTCTTTGTTGTTTTTAATGCAAGAATAGTAAGACCAACCCAATTCAAAGAAATACACATTAAGTCAGCCATATTAGCAAATCAGTTTAAGTACCAGCTAATTTTCATCCAAATCATGCAGCAGAAAACGAACCCAGGTACAATTACTGGAAAGCTTCCCACTTGCAGACTAATTGCAACCCAAGTACCCAGGACAGAGTGCCTGATTTTTTAATCTTTAACTTTTTTTGGTTTTGTTTTTTTACCTTACAAATCTGAACGGCGTATTTTAATTGCTGTTTGAGGTTAATTTTGTTCTTATTCTTTGGAAGATATTCCTTAAGGCTTCCTGAAGGCAGAAATTCCATGATGAGCTTAATACCATTTCCTCCTGTTTAGAAAAAAACACCCATCAGCACAAGGTCTCCGGATGAAGGAACTGTGGGAGAGTAGAGGGTTGTGGGATCTGGAGAGGCAGGCCCTACGCTGATTTCAGTGTCACCCCTGAATCACTACTGAAACCCTTAAGCTCCAGAGCCTTGGGATCCTCAGCAACGAATGGAGACACACAGCTCCTGTACACACACAGCCCAGCTGTCAGCACCCACTGAGCTCACAGTGCTCTGCAAACCACTGCAGAGGACTGATTTTTAAAAAATTATGAGCCACAACATTTCATTACCCATTTTAGGCACAATATGTATTCTATTGGCTTGTAAAAAAAGAAATGGTAGTCAATACTGCTTTCCACCTAGACAATGAAAGATCCCACTAGGGATTCTGATCTGCATCAGAATAGGAAAAGTAGACAGCGGTGTCCGCTTCACAGGGCCCAAGTGCGAATACCGGGATGAGTGAAGTCCAACCTCCAGCACCGGAGGGAGAACGCTGTGGGCATCCCTGGCGGCGGGGGCAGCTGGACGGCTTCCCTGGCAGCTCCACGCGGAGGGACAGGACCGTGCGTATGACAGCATAGCCCCAGAACGCCTGTGAACCACCAGCGAGCATGTCCAGGTGGCCCAGATAAGGCTGACGGTACTGCCTGCTCACGCTGGCTTTTCAAGCCCAGATAGTCCCTTCGTCTTCAAACCAACCCCACTGTGCCCAACATACCGTCTTCCGTACAGATGCCTTTGTATTTCACAATGTTCTCGTGATAGAGGTTCCTTAGGATTTCAATTTCCTTCTTCAGATCAGCTATGTGGTTGCCTCCACTCTCGGGCTTCAGGGACTTCACCGCCACTTGCTCCCCAGTATTGTCCCCCTCAGGGTCATACCTGCAGAGCTCAACCTTCCCAAAGTGGCCCTAGAAGGAAAGATCCACGTGCCTGATGAGCCCCATGCGGAGCCAGCAGAAACACGTACATGATGCCTGCTCCTTGTGCTGCTCCCAGAAAGGTCAAGGGTGAGCAGCAAAGCCCAACTTTACGTGGCAAGCTCCTACCTGGCCCCTTCCTCCCATGGCCTCACAGGCCATCCTCTCCATCACTGGACTAAGACAAGGAGGTATCAGGGGACTGGGAAACTGACACATCAATCCCAGTTTCCATGGAAATGTAACCCAAAAGGAAATGAAAGTGGTTTCTGGCCCCACAGGAAGCATGTTTACAAGACATGGGCTCAGATGCCGACAAGCCACTAGACAGTGATGTGGGCCCATTCACCCCATCCTCTGAGCTGGCTCCAGAGGGGCTCCACGCACACAGCCTCGGCACACAAGAGGCACCCAGCGTGGGCCGCAGCCCATGTTCACTTAACGGAACTACAGAAAATCGGGACAAAGACATAAACTGCAGTAACTTTTCTGGCCCCATTAAGCTGTTCAGAAACTCCCATTCAAGGTCCAGGGAAAAGATGACACTCTGTCTGGCCTGTGTAGTAATGAATCCCCCATTTAAGCAGCCTAGCCAAATACAGCCACCCAGGGAAGTCCCAGACAGGGATTTTTCTGTTTCTACCCCATCTCGACCTATTCCCCTAGCTCTCTCCCTTCCCATTCTCCTCATCCCTCAGGGAAGAATCAAGTCTGGAGGGAGCAGGCCAATATCCTGTGTGCACATCCAACCCCCCGGACAGGCAGGCATATGTGTGCCTGTCAAATGGAGAATTGCTTGGATTCAACCGGCCCCAAGAAAATGCATAAACCTCTCATGAACCTTGGCCCCAAACGAGAGACAATGGAGAGTGGCTTTGGACACAGAGAGAGGTGACAGGGTCAGTGGGGCACTCCAGCCTAACTTGCCTCTCCCAAGTCACGGATCCTCTTCAAGAACCGCTTTTCAAAATGTGTGGGATCTACTTCGGTTGCCGGCTTTCTTTCAGAAACAATGTCTGGATCTAACAGAGGAGAAAAGAAACCACATTACAAAGGAGTAACTGGCATTCACGGGCCCCTCGTTCGTTATTCACCCGCTCCCACGGGAACTGGCTGTTCTCAGGTACGGAGCACAACTATCTTACTCTGCTCTTCTAGTTTGTTGATGTCTCTCATGATGGCTCGGAAGAAGGGTCTCTGGTTGGGGTCATAGTTCATGCAGCGTGTCATGAGGTCAGCCAGCTCCTTACAAGATGGCGTCACTGGCCGGCACCGGCTTTCGTAGAATCTCTCTTTCTGTAAAGAAGAAAACCACATGGAAGAAACCAAAGGAACCAGTCACTAACCTTTTAGCCCCAGTTACCACCCCTAATTTAATTCCCAACTGCTATACTTCAATGTAGATTTCATAAACATGTGTGTTACTGCTGCCTCACTGCTGCCTGGGGAAATCTTAGTCCCCCCACAGAAACCCACAAGGAAGATGGGCAGGATACCCCAGCCCAGAACAAGCTGTGTTCCCTGGAAGTCATGCAACCTTCCTGGAATACAACTTGGCCATATGTGTAACAACCTTTGGATTCTTCAAATCCTTTGACTCACTAATTCCAACTATCGAATGACTCAGAAATAAGTCAGATACAAACAAAGATTTATGTTCAAAGATATCCCCTGCAGAATGAGATAGAACATTACAAATTTAAAAACAACCCCAATGCCAAATATAAAATTAGTTAAGTAAATTTGAACTTACTGAGATAACTCTTACATTAAATTTATAAAATTTTAAAACATATTTAACTGCCTAGAAAAGAACTCATGATATTAAGAAGTACAGCCTATATATCTATATCTATGGTAAAGAAACTCAACAAGTATCTGTTATTTTTGATGACTAGCGGGCATTTAAAATCAGAGCCAAGTAATATTATAATGTTCTACCAGCACATATTGTGTGCCTAGCACTCTACATGCATTATTAATCTTCACAACAGCCCCGCCCAAGAAGTAGGTGTTATTTATCCCCATTTTACAGATGATGAAACTGAGGCTCAGGGCAGTTTAGTGACACTTTCGAGGTCACACGCCCAGTAAGCCTGTGGAGGGGCTTCAAACAGACATCCACCTCCGCCCACAACATGAGGCTTCCCAACGGAGACTTCGGTTAGCTCGCACCCTGGACAGCAACTGCTCACCTCAATCAGGGTCTTATCTTTCAGAGGGATCTCGCCATTGTAGCAGATTTCCCAGAGTGTGGTTCCAAAGCTCCATTTGTCAGCAGCCACACTCAGGTTCTTGGAGTCTTCAACACACTCGGGAGCAATCCACGGGATTCGTTCTATGCACTCTGGAAAAAGATGGGAGATGTTTCCAGATCAGTTTCCGGAATCGCCTGGGGAGTAAATCATGGTCACTGCAGCAGGAACTGTGAACTAAGGAAGCAACTAGTCTAAGCAGTGTTTCCAAACACGGTCTACGGTACACTGGTCCCTGGGGAGGTGGAAAAGGTGCCGTCTTCCGGCCCCTCGCCCTTAGCACTTCAGATCCATCAGTCTTTGTCAGGGCTGGCAGGTGTGTCTGTTTATCACACGCCCCTGGGAGGGTCATGCAAGGCCAGGCTTCTGAAGCTCTGGCCTCAGAGCAAAGCACCCAGGGTAGATGCCAACACCCTGGGGAAGGAGAACCAACGCTTGAGAAAGGAAAGACAGGAGGAGGGGCACACACACGCAGGCCAGGCCTGGGCTAACCTCACGCACTCTGCACAATCCACCTGCTGTGCTGTGCTTGCTTTCTGTGGGAAAGGCAAGGGAAAAAGACTGACGTGAGGTTCTCCTACATCGCTTGCCCCTGGCTGCTTTGCAGCCCTGTTCGGGCTTCTGGCCAAGCCCAGCGATGGGAACAGACGCCCCTGCTTCATCCAGAGAAATGTCCCTTAACAAATGCTGCAGCCCCCGGGCTCCTGCTGCAAAGAGAGGCAGGCGGGCCATTCCTGAGCAGGGCACTCTTGGTCAAGCCCACGTCACTGACTTACAGAGCCCACAGGAAACCCCAGTGCCTCCCTGAGTCATGCTCCAGCCCCAGCTGGATGACATCCCTTTCTCTCTGAATGCACACAGCATTCAAATGGCATCTCTTGTGGGGTACCCAGGCTTCTCCATTTGCTCCGGAGTCTCCTGTGTCTGTGTCTCAGATGCTTGCTGAGGACAGGAGCCTTGACAGATTCAGGGCTGAATCTGCACAGACTGTGGGAAGTTGGGCGGGTGATAAGCATGACACAGGCATGAAAGGAGGCTTTCCATTCCCCTTCTAAGGAATGGCTATTTTAGGTCTTATTTATAACGCTTGTTTTCATTCTGGTTCCCTTCCAAATGTGGCCCGTTCTTTGAATTACAGAGCAAAACTCTAAGCTCCAGGTAGTGTGCTTGGTGCTGGAAACTGCCGGCCAGCAGAGGTCAGGGCCCCAGGCCCAGGGACTCTCTGATATCCCGGATATGACCTCCTAGCACAACTGTGCAGCGCTGTTTTCAGGGTCTCAGCTCCCAGGCCTGCGCTTTCCTGTGGCGCATAGCTCATGATAACCTCAAAGCACACAGGACCCCAGCAATCACCCGGGTGCCTCCCCAAACAGCTCGCCAACTCCAGTTGAGCACCAAGGAGACCCAGCTCCTCCTGACATCCTCTGACTGCCCCCCAGGCCCAGCAGACTCCTTCTGTGCTACCCCAGCACCCGGAGCAAAGATGTGCCTTGGCTGAGCTGTGTTTCTCCCTCCACTTGGTTAGCTCCCCGAGGGCAGGGACTGGCCCTCCCTCAGCTCCACATCTCCCCTGGCCCCGAGGGCACAGCAGCAGCACCAAGCCTGTCCACTAAAGTGTCCTTCTCAAAAGGAAACACACCTGAGCACTAGCCCCCTTCTCTCTGCTGGTCTGACCCTAATTAGAGCAGGGGTATGGAGACTGGCAAGGTGGAGGGCAGGGATGGGAAATAGGGTGGGCAGGAAGGGAGACACACCTTGCCTGGACAGCACGGTGATGGGGATGCCAGGGTCACTGAGCTTGATGAACGGGCCACACTCGCTGTCAATGCCCTCACGGGCCAGGAGAAGGTTTTTCGTGCACACATTTCCGTGGACCAGGTCTTTATCCTCCTACAGAGGGAAAAGAGTGAAATCAGTCCCGCTGCCTGTGGGGCAGCCTCTCCTCCTTCCCTCACTCCCTGTTTCCAAGCCTGGCCCCTCGCATCATCTCTCCATATTCCCCGGGGACAGCCAGGCCCAGGCAGCGTCACTCTCCCCCAATTATCTGTGTGACTTGGGCACATTATATCATGGCCTTCTGCCCTAGTTCTCTCACCAGCAAACCGGGGATAATGGTGAAGCAGGCCTCCTAGGGCTTGTGAGAATGAACCTGTATAACACCTGAAACAGCTGAGCCGTGGGAAGCGCTACTGATCCAAGCAGTTTCACTCACTCATTCGACAAGTATTGTGTTATTTCCACTCTTACTTACGTTGCATTCCCAAGGTCAGTTCCCTGATGTGATAAAACTTCCCTTGGAACAGGATTCATACAGAAGCACACAAACAGCCCCAAATGACCATTTTCAGCAAGCCCCAGGCACACCTGTGTTCAACCACAGAGCCTAAGCCCTTGGAGCCCGCCTGGCTAGACCGCCTTCCTGCCGCCCCCTACAGGGTATTCTGGTTCCTGGTGGAGCCCACCAGGGACCTCAGAACGTACTTACCAAGTAACTCAGGGCGCTGGCTAGCTGTTTGGCAACTTTGAACTTCCATGGTGTGGTGAGGACATCGCTTTTCCGGTGCATGAAGAGATCGAGGGGTCCCCCTTCCACAAACTCCTCCACCATGATATCTACAAGCACAAGAGTAGCCACATCTGGAACCTTCTGTACATCTGGGACAGTATTTCCCTCATCCTCTGAGGAGAGCTCACTTTAGTGGCTGGTAATCGGCTTGGGAGGATGGCAACGCCTTGTGAGATGCAAAGCCCAGAGTGCTTTCCCCCGGCCGAGCGCCTTCCGCTCTCTCCATTTGCTCACCCCTCTCCCGGGTCCAGAACAGCGTGTAGCCAGAGCTGGGGACAAGTAACGTCCAAGCAATAAGTGAAAAACAAACAGGACTTCATTCTATGCCCACTATTGAGCACGAGACCTGCTCAGTACCTCAAGTTCCTCGACTGCAAGAAGAGGCAAGAAGCCCAAGCCACGTGAAGGCAGCATCGTCCCCGAATCATCATCACCACACCCACTCACCCCAGCCAAGCCGAGCTCCCCTCCCAAAGCGAATACACTTACTCTCCACATCTCGGACACAGACACCATAGAGGTACACGATGTGTTTGTGGGAGACCTGCCTCATCATGCTGGCTGCTTCAAAGAAGGCCTGTGGGAGAAGACCACAAGAGAATGTCAAAGGTCAGACTCCATAGCTCTGGTGCCAAAGGAGCACTGCTGAGAAGAAAGTCAGGGGGACCCAGAACACTCACCACTGTTGTCACCCCAGGTCCTGAAACTGTTCCCCTGGCCTTGACTGCCCACGGGCATTGCCAAGCCTTTACCTAGGGCCCAGTCTGGCTGGGATATGGAATCTATTTAGAAAACCTAACAAGATACAGAGCCAGGCTGGTGGCAGAAGCTGGGTGACAATTTCCCCACTGGATACTCATTATCGACCACCTTCTCTTCCTTTAAACTTTGGGAAATAACAGCATTTGGAACTGCAGCAGAATAAGTGAAAAACCAGATCTCTGTTGAAACTTGGCTTTATCACTCTCTAATAGTGTGTGGGATCTTGGGTAAGTCCTTTTACTCCCCTGGGCTTTAATTTTCTAGACCACATAGTGATAGCCCTGGACTACATTAGGGACTTCGAGAAGATTCAGCTAGAGTCTGGGGCTCCACAGAATCACCACAAGGACCTCTACGGGGCGAGAGTGAGAGGGCGACAGGCTGCTCAACGCACTTCACCTTCAATCCTCCCTCACTTACTTTACATGCCTGCTTCATCTAAGACTGTATTTAATGAAAGGAATTCAGACTAAATGACAAGTTTGACAACCACGAGACCAAAACAAAGGCAAAGGTTCTTCCTTGCTCACTGTGCCCCACTGGCTCCAGAACTGGGGGTAGATAGGGGAGAGGGTTCTGAGGAAGACACTTGCCAGAGAAATGTCCCTGTGGCTGGGGTCTAAGACTTTGAGGATCACTTTTATTCTCTTCTCTTCGGAAGTTCCTTCGTCATCTTTGTAATCCACCAGGGTGCCGGAGTAGATGTGTGTCCGTGTGCCTCTCCCAAGATGCTCACCCTGGAGGAGGAAGCAGGAGGTTGGGGTGACTTCGCTCTAGGGTTCAGTGACACCTGAGTCTGGCACTGAGGCCTTCATGGGAACCCGCCATACCAGAAGGGGCAGAAACGGTGGGGCAAGGACGAAAGAGCCTGCACAGCCACAGCCTCTCGGGGCCTCGTCTGGTCAGGCCTCCAAAAGACACATAAAGCTACTTAGCTGAACGCAAATGGGACCCTTCCTGGGCCCCAGGAGACAGTTAATTCCCAAACAGTTCCTTGCCTTCTACCTTCTGAAATAAGCTGTGGCTAAATCATAATCCTGACCAATCACAGAACTTTTAGCAGCCCACCCAGGGCCTCCAAAGTGATGCAGAGAGGACCCCACAGGGCTCTACTACAGGCTGGGGCACAAAGAGAGGGGCTTGTTAGTGGTGGTTCGACTGCTCGCTGGCTATCTAACTCAGAGATGTGCTTTCTGTATAGAGGGGTAACCATGGCACCCACTTCCCAGGACTGTTCTAGAACCAAGTGAAGAGGTAGGAGTAAAGGCTCCTCGGTGCAGAGCCCGGCACATCATGGGTAGAAACCATCTGCTGGGCTGATGTGTTCTGTTTGCTTGCCCTCCAGACCAGGGACTCGTTCATCTTCCATCCATCCATCCATCCATCCATCCAGCGCGTGTGTATATACAAGCCTGCATGCTGAGCTTTCAAATCTGTGGCGTGTTTATATGTGGGACTGCCGGAGCGACCCCACGGTGGGGAAGGGGTGTGAAGACCGAGGCAGACACCAGAAGGGTGGGCCCTCAGTTTCCTCACATACGAAACGGGATAACACCACCAAATAAATGGTATGAGTCCTAAATGAAATCATCTCACATAATCATCTGTCTCTAAGGACCCTTCCAGTTCAAGCTTTAATAATTCTGATTTAAACATTCTTAATATTAGGAAATCCAAATGCAATTCATTAAACTCAGTCATTCTCAAGCCACTAAGGTTAATCTCATGAAATCTGTAAGTTGAGGTGCCCAGGACCTTCTCCATAAATGCAGAAAATGGATTCTCTTGGAATCAGCCCTGCCCCCTACAGGAACGTATACAATTGCTAATCGGGTATATTAATTTGCACAAATGCCACCATTTGTCATCTGTCACAGCCGAGTGGTGATGCATCTGCCCTGTCTCCCACATCCTGGCAAAGTCCTGCGACTATTCATTAAAGCGGCAGCTGTCACAAAACGATTCATCAAGGTTATGGGAAGTTGTGTTCCCAGAACACCCCGTAAAAGCCATACGCTTTCAGAATAATTACTCTTCCCCAGAAGGGCTGCTTATTCCAGTGGCCAAGTCATGGCAGCAGGCTTCCACAGCAACCCACAGAGGCCGGGGCACATTCTCCAACAGCCTCCTTCTGAGCCACTCCCTCTGCCTTCACCAGGCACCTGCCTGGCATGCCCCAGAACTCTGCTTCTCTGCCTTTTCCCCAAGGAGCCATCTCTATCCTCCCAAGGTGAGGCAGCATAGTCCTCTCTGATAGTCCCACATCCTGTTCTATTTCCCTACTTAGGACTTAGGTCTCAGTAATGGGATTATCTACTGAAAAGGCAAGAGCCGGCTCCCCCTCCAGGCCGTGGGCCCTCCAAGGGTGGCAACCACAGCTGGCATGTGCAAGGGCTCAGTCACTGTGGGCTTGGCAAGTGCTGGGGGGCACAGCAGATGGCTGGGACCTGCCCAGGGGCTTGAGGGCAAGGAAAGAAGGAAGGGCCCAAGGACAGTGCCAAGTTTAGACAGAAAAAAGCCCAGGGTACTGCTGCCCTGGTGATTTTAATCTCTGGACACAGCTCTGACCCTATGAGAGGGACAGAAAACAATAAAAACTGGCCTTCAGTGAAGTATGTATCCAAAGGGAAGTGGGAGGGGCGGTTGGAGCGGTGGGCTTCTACTTCCTGAAAACCCTACTCAACAATTTTAGGGATTAACTTAAAAAAGTAAACTAGGAAACCAACCTAATGCCAGGTACCTTCTACCACACTCCCTAACAGATGTGAGCCCACAACTGGCTCTCCAACACCTGCCAAGTTGCGATCTCTCCCAGGCAGTCAACAGTTCCTTCCCTCCACAGCTGCTGGCATGTCGTCTCCTTAGCCTCCCTGGTGTGTGGCTCTGTGTACAGGGACTGGGGTGGGGGCATGGAACAGAAAGTGGGCTTTGCCCTGGGCCTCACACCACTAGCCAAGGCCCAAGAGCAGCTACTAGGGAAGCTGGGCCTGCCTACGGCTATAGACTCTGGGCAAAAGGCCTCCCAAGCTGGAGCACAGGTCCAAGGGATCTATTTCTCAAGACAGCTCTCCTGCAGACTGCCACTGCGCCTCACCAGCTCCCTTACTGTGCTCTGTATGCCCCAGCTTTGCTCCCTCTGGAAGCATCATCAGAAAGCCCAGCCACTGAACTTGAGTAGTGCCATCACACAACATGTGGTAGGTTAGCACAGGTCATCGGCGCAGACTCCCCCCCCAGACACCCGATTCGTGCTGCCCTGTCAGCATCCCCGCCCAGTTCTCCAACTCCTATGCACAACAGAAGGTCCCATAGCCCTAGATAACCCCACGAAGCCTGACGCATCCACTTCCCTTCAAAGAGAAAGTATCCCTGGGGAGCACCGGCAAGGTTGGTGGAGTGGCAGGGCGGTAGCTGAACAGCTCTAACTATGAACGGAAAGCTCCTATTTATTCTCTGATAGGATTTCCCAAAACCCCGACTTCACTCCCCCCAAATCCTCAGACTAGTCGCTGTGAAGAGGCAGGCCCGAGGTGGACCCAGGAACCTTAGCAAAGACTCACTTGCACGATATCTTTCTTGAGGATCCGGTCAAAACTCAGCTGGCTCATGGGGTAGACAGGCTGCCACTCCTGGGCTTTCTTCGTAGCCACCAGCAGATTGGAGATCTCTGTGGAAGAGAATGAAGAAGTCTGAGCAGGGTAGCAAGGGTTCAAGATCCGTCAGGCAACTGCCTGCCAAACCATGGCGCTCACCAAACACCTATCTGTGCATGTGTTAGTTCAGTCATTCAGTAAATGTTTATTAAATACTTGATTTAGGCCCCCAAGAGCTTGCAGGCTAATAACAGAGCCTAAACTAATCAAATAATCCACCATCAAAAGGAAAGCTCCAATTGGTGCAGCTCCTCTCCAAGCCAGACCCAGGTGCTTGAGGGCTGACACAGCAGGATCTGTTCAGATAGCAGACCTTAGGGAAGGTCTGCCTACAGAAGTGACATTTTATTTTTTTAACAAATTATTCTCTTTTTTTTAAAGATTTTATTTATTAGACAGAGATCACAAGTAGGCAGAGTGTCAGGCAGAGAGAGAGGAGGAAGCAGGCTCCCCATTGAGCAGACAGCCCGATGCAGGGCTTGACCCCAGTACCCCGAGACCATGACCCCAGCTGAAGGCAGAGGCTTTAATCCACTGAGCCACCGAGGCATCCCCGGAAGTGACATTTTAGAATCAGAGATGAGATACTCCCCACCAGCAGGGACGGTGTCTATCTTATTTCCTGCTCTACCTCCACAGCTTGGTATGTGGTAGGTACTCAGAAAGTTTCTGTTCACCGTGTAAGAATAATCAGGATATGACCTGAAGGATGAGAGCTGGGCAGGGAGGAAGCACCAGTCTGCTGGGTCTAGGGGGTGATGGCAACCAAGGCAGGAGGGTAAAACAACACTGATCTTATGCAAAAGAACAGGACAGATAATCCAGAGAGAAGGTCGTGCCTGAACCTCTCTCTCTGGGCTCCCAGCAGGGCCTGACTCCAGGGAGGCGCTAACTCAATGAATAGGTTATGAGCAGACCAAAGCCCCAATTCTACGGATTCGAATGGCAAACCGAACACTTTACAGAATCTGCCAGGCCACTAGGAGCACAGGTGGCTCGTGGAATTTACAATCCACAGAAGGTGCCTTCCCACCACGGAGCTACTTCAAGCTACGTCACTATGGGGGTTGAGAGAGCCCCCTTCCAGACTCAGACTGCAGTGAGAGGATTCTGGAACCCTAGAAGAACCTGAGCTGCTGAGGACCAGGTGCCCACAGTCAGCCGAGTAACTCGGACACGGTCTCTCAAATCCTCACTTCCCTGCAGGCCCAGGCTTATTCTCCTTGTTGTTTTTTTGTCAGCTCACATTTTCTGATTGCTTCCTCTTGGCCAGCCACTGCCCTAAGAGCTTTCTTCACAGTAATTCCTTTGTCCTTATGACAATTCTATGAGGTACACGGTATTTTTACCCTTCTTTTAAAAAAAAATTTTTTTTTAAAGATTTTATTTATTTATTTGACAGACAGAGATCAGAAGTAGGCAGAGAGGCAGGCAGAGAGAGAGAGGGAGGCAGGCTCCCCGCTGAGCAGAGAGCCCGATGCAGGGCTCGATCCTAGGACCCTGAGATCATGACCTGAGCCGAAGGCAGAGGCTTAACCCACTGAGCCACCCAGGCGCCCCTTTACCCTTCTTTTTATTCTATAGGTCAGAAAACAGAGATTCAGTGAGATTAAACAGCCTGCGGGAGGCCAGGCGGTTAATAAGCCCTGAAGGCTCACACTTCAGTCACAGATGGCTCCAGGCTTGTACTTCCTATGGCCCTAGTGTGGGGTACAAATCTGGGAGCCAGACACTGGGTTCAGGCACAAGCTCCCCTTATTACCATATCCTGGGTACCCTTTCTCTAGTGTGATCTCCTCCATTCTGTTATCCTGACTCCACTCTGGAACCTGGATAAAATCAGATTCAAACAGGCAACTCAGGACTGCCCTGATGGAGAAAAGACCAAGAAAGGGCCACCTAAATGGTATCCCCAACAAAGGGTTGGGGCAGTGGAGGTGTTTTAAAAATCAGAGAGGAGGATGAAAACAGGCACCATTTATGGGCTGATGATTAGTATGGTAGCTTCAGGAAGCATGGCACTGAAGTCAACTGTGTGAGTTGGGGGAGATGTTAAACCTGCTTTCTCACTAGAAAAATGGGAGACATAGTCATGCCCTTAAGCAGGCTGCTGTGAGGGATAAACAAGACAATGCACACAGAGGGCTTACTTCAGTGCCTGGTGTACAGGGAGTGCTCCAAAACTGGCAGCCATTGTGGTTAAGACCAGTATTACATCTCGGCCAGCACCACCATCCTGTACCAGCTTTGGCAAGCTAGAAGTTTATAGTGTCAGAGCCAAAGGTGCAGAAATCACGCCCCTGGCCCCACTCCAGGATGAGGGAGTGCGAAGGTCAGTGATGACTGGGCCGGTGAGTTCTGCTGGCTGGCTATCCCCTTCTTCACCTGATCTTAGCCAAAAGGCCGAGAAGCGACTGGCTAGCCCCTTCTTGCCACGGTCACCCTCAGACGTGGAGAGGGGCAGTGGGACTGGACAACACACAGAGATGTGGGCTTGCTTTACTGTCAAATCCACTTGAGTGGCCACCTGCTTTTCCTTTATTCCATGAGAAGTTTCTCAGTTGCATTTTCAAGTGAGACACCCGGGTCGGAGTTGGACCATCAGAACCTTGCAGTTAAGAGGGCAGAAGCACTGAGGAACCAAAAATGACCTTCTCCTTAATTTTCATGTTTTTACCACTTCTCTAATTTGCGGGTGGCAGAGGTAAGACAAAGGGCTTCTGACAGCCCACAGAAGCAGGCCTCATACACAGGGCTCATTCCTCCTCTCCCCACCGCCAGGCCCTTCCCTTCTCCAGGTCAAGAGAACTGGCTCTCACCCCAGAGCCTTGGCTGATGGCTGCCCCTGCACCTTTGCAGAGCATGATGGGATGTACGGGAAAGATCACCAGAGCTGGAGTTCACTTCCCCAGTCATCCCCTAACTACCTAGGCAAATATAATGGGGATTATAACACACTCTGGCTTGTTCTGAAGATTAAATGTCTCTGAACATGAAAGACCTCAAATAGGGCCTGGAAGCATAGGAGCCCTCGTCATCACCATTGCTACTATTATCACTGAACATCTCTGAGACCCCATTTCCACATTTCTATAATAGCTACAAAGAGCCACTGTCAGATGGAATAAATGCAAATATGCATGAAAAGCTCCTGAGATTAGCAGGCACCCACAATACGGTGGTTACTGCTGTAATCCTTCACCTGACGGGCATCAGTGAATGTGGACTTCGTCTTAAGAGTCCATACTGATCCCGTCTTAAGAGTTCATACTCAAGTGGGAGAGACAGACACTAAGCACATTCGGTGTGGAGTTCTAGGAGCCTCATGAGAAGCCATGAGAGGTGTTCAGTCTGTTCCTGTGCTTCTCCAGTACTGTTACCAGATCCCAGATCCGGACCAATAGGGTGGCACTGACACCAGTGACCTCCCCAGCTAATTACAGCGAAGTAATCATGCCCCTGTCTCCCATCTGCCACCAGCCCTCGCTACCTGTGGCCGCAGCTCTCCATCTCCTCAACCTTACCCAAAGATCTTGCATCCCAAGGAAAGTAAAGACTGCTCCTAATATCTGTTAGGAGAGATCATGTGAGTAAATAGGGTCTTTGCGCTTTAAGGTTTTACCTCACCCTGAGGTCTCAGGGCCAAGGGGCAGACGTGTTTTTACCCTTGCAGAACATCTTCAAGCATGAAAACAAAGGCTGCAGTTACCCCCAGAGCTGGCAGGAAACCCTATCTGATCAACAAGAACATAAGTCCTTCCTCTTTCACCGAATGTGGTGGCAGCCCCTTGCTGGGAGGCCAAAAAGTGATTCAAACATCAAGAACCCAGGCCCCTTTTTGTCCTGGTGTTGCTTCCTCTGCCCACCCCTGACATCAAGGTTCACAAATTCCCTTAAGAGAACCAGAGGCGTCTCTGCCAAAGAGACTCCTGAGAGCATCTCCCACCACACTTCCCAGGGCATCAGAATGACGGTGCTGCCCACCCTTTCTCTGAGGCCTGACCTCCTCTCAGGGAAGGATCTGACCCATGCAGGCAGCACCACCCTGCAGTAAGGGATGTCAAAAAAACACTTGAGGTAGACTGGTACTCAAACCCTTTTGACCCTGACCTTCAGTGAGACCCACTCCACTTCTCCAGGACTCAGTTTTCTCATCTGTTAAGATGCAGCATTTGACCAGGTGTTCTCTAACTGTCCTTCCAGTTCTCACATTCTAGGTGATGACTCTGCCTCTAGGACATCGATGACACTATCCACGGGGCTTCAAAAACAAGAGCCGGGTTCCTCACCCCTCCTGTCCATTTCACAACCTGACCCTCCCGTGGCTTGGCACTGTAACTCCCCGGCATGGCACCCAAGGCCTTCTTCTGACCCAAATCTTCCTCCCCCAACCTCACCTGCCCCTTCTGTCTAACTTCACCAGACACATTAGCCCTTCAGTCCCTGCTTCTCTGCAGCCCCTGCTGTGGCCTGCCATGTTGCCCCTGCACACGCTCAGCAGGAAATGCCCTCAACTAACGGGCAAGCCCCACGCTCACTGTCCAAGAACCACCTCCTCCGGGTAGTGTTCCATGCCACAGCTCGGATGTTTGACCATCCCCGTCCAAGGTGACGCAGTGGCCTCGGTTCCCTGGGGCATTTTCTGCATGCGACTGGAAACCCTCGGAGAGCAGAGACTGGGTGCCAGGCATTTATGATGCTTTGCATTCACCATAGCTCTTGGCCCACAGAAGATGTGCCAGGAATGCTTCCCAGATAATAAACCACTCACAGGGGAACTCTCAAGACATTTTATCTTAAAAAGGACAGTGGTAAGCTTCTGCTTACTAATCCAAATGTGGCTCTTCCTGAAGCCTGAGCTGCTAAGAAGAGGTGGGTAGGTTTTATGCTACAGAAAACATAGACACTTGAGGGCCGGGATTGGAAGTGGGGATGGACTTGCAACAAGATGAAGTGAAAGATACCTAGAAACTGTGGGGGAGGGGCCACTTTCTTCCAACCAACCAGCCTCTCTGGGTTACCAGTCTTGGAGCATTGCCACAGGGCGGGGAAACCCTGAAGGGACAGGGCCCGGCTCTGGCCCAGGGAGACTGACCTCGGGGCTTGGGCTGGCAGCAGCGCTTCAGCACGAAGCTGATGTTGTCCGTGCGCAGGATCTGCTTCTTGAGGTGGCTCATCAGGTCCCCCAGGCTGGGGAAGCTGCGGTCTGAGCCGTGCAGGCTATAGCGGCCCTTCTGCACTTCGATCTGAAAGTTCTTGAACTGCTTCTGGCCGCCCAGCACCTGCCCATCAGGAAAATGACCAGAAACGGAGTGTTTTAAATGGGTCAAGCAAATGTACCATGGGCATGTCATCTGTTAACAACAGGAGAAGCTGGATAAAAGACAGCTAGAACTCCGTACGATCTCTGAACCCTTTCTATAAATCTGTAATTATTCAAAAGCAAAATGTATTCTAAACGAGTAATCGAACAAAGAAATAAGTCAACCCAGAAGAAGACACTGACCGAAGGGAGTTAACATTAGGGAGAAAGCATAACCGAGCAGGGACTTCTATAATAGCATCCCCTCATCTTAAATCTGTAAGAGGAAGTCCACTGAAACACCAACGTCATGGGACTGCTATGATTACACGACAGAGTAAAAAACTTAGTAAGCACTTTGTAAAGACTGGCAAATATTATTATGCATGAAATAATAATTACTATAACAACATTTATCTAGGCAGTCTCTCAAACTGAGCCCTGCCAGGCGTCTATTTGAGGAGAACCACCCTGGGAGGTGGCAGTCGGTGGTCCGGTCTATTTTCAGGACTCTGTGGCACCACAGACTGAAGTATAAGCAGAGGGTTTCCTTCACAGGTGCTTTTTGTACAGAGAAAAATATTTCAGTAATGAAGGATGAGGGTCAGAAAAATCTATGGTATAGAACAGGACAAGATATTTAAGATCCTAAGGCCTTGGTTTATTCATCTGTACAATTCATCTGTCCAATGCGCATAATACCACCTATCTCACAGGGTCAGTGTAAGGTTTAAATAAGGGCAGGCAGAAAAAGTGCTCAGCACAGTGTCTGGTGAGCTACCTTGAACAGCAAGAGTAACCACAGCTATGATCCTGTTTCCCCAGGTGATCTGACCCCAGGCAGACCATGCCTCTGAGTCACCAACATTCCTGGTACAGCGTAAGCTACTCCCCCTCAGAAGGCGGTTGGGCTGTCTCGTGCGCCCACCCATGTTCAAAACATTAAACTTCCTCAAAGACTGATGAAAGCAGAAGACAGGCATGCTGCCCAGCAGCAAACCTGACAAGTTCTGACCCGCTGCGTCCGCACCCACCGGGAGACCTTGCTGTGCAGGAACACCCCCAGGCAGGCAGTGGCACCTAGAGACTTTTGCCCAGGACACATGGCAGCACTGGGTTCCTTCAGCCATTTCCTCTTCCCACTCCTGACGGAGTCTAGCCCCCAGCGGCTCCCCAGTACTTTTCCTTCCACCATCTGAAGTCGATGGCACGCTCGTGTGCTGACTTCCACCTTGTAGCTCCCCACTCCCTGTCCCCCTGCTGCCCCAGTTCTCCCAGCTCACACTAACCAGTCAACACTAGTGTATTTATCTGGACTAATTCTGTAAAACTCATGGTCTTTTAAAATATTCCACTTCCTGTATTTAAAAAAACTGCATGAATGACAAAGGCTGTACTACGGTCCAGCGAGGTAAGGTCAATAATTTTGGCTTTTATCTTTGTTTTGGGGATATCATTCACACCATTCCTGGATTCTAGCTACACTAGAGTCACTAAACAGAGTCATTTCCACTTGTCAAACACAGGACAGCAAGTCGTCTGTTAAAATGTCTGACTCAGTAGACACTGGTCTACTGAGTCAGTGCCACAAATCAGACACGGCTCTGGGTCTCTGATTTTGTAACTAAGTGTAAAATCAACCACTTGCAATAAGTGCATTAAACTTAACAAAAGTTTGGTGTGAACTGGTTTTCTGGCCACGCTCTACCTTCCAGAGCCACCATGGATCCTTGCCATGAGTCCCCTGAGAGAAGAAAGGGCCATGAGGAAAAAACATTTGGGGTCTGGCTGCTTGGAAGTCTCCTTTTGAAGAGTGGGGTTGTCCCGGTCAGAACTGCCAAGGATTTTCTCAGAAACCTAGGCTTTTCTAACCCCACATCCCAGTGTGGTCCTCTCCAGAGAAGCCCCTGGGCCTGCTGCACCAAATACCCTGTGGCAATATGACTTGGCCAGACTGACCAAGACTTTTCCCGACTGACCTCAGATTTCTCAAAGCAGGTGACCGTCATGAGGATATTGTCAAAGTCGGTACAGCTCCACCTCAGCACATACATCCCCTCCTCGCTTCCTTCTTGCCGCAACTTATTGATGGCATATTCCGTGCTAGAGGGAGAGAAAGGGAAAGGGAGAAAGAGCACATAGCAGATAACCCTACAGGATTTCCACATCTCTCATCTGGCTTGAGGACTACAGACCCATCATGTTACCTGTCCTGGGTCCCGAAGTCCTGTTGAGCAGACATGTGCGGCAGGCCGAGATGCCAAGGAGCCTCAAGGCCCATCAAGTCTCCAAGGTCTAGAAGAGCACTGGCCTGCCGCCCAGGGCACTGAGCCTGACTTTGTCCCTGACATCCCCGCACATGCAGTCTCCAGCTCGCGCAGGAGATGTCCCCACAGAGGTGATGCACGGCTGCCCATCATACAGCGCCCGCCACAGAATGGGGTCCCTCCCCCGCCATCCCTAGACTGCCCAACTAGAACACGAGCCCCGGGAGAGCATGAATTTGGGGTTATTCTGTTCACTGCTGTATCCACAGTAACCAGAGCACACGTGGCTCACAGTAGCTACTCAGTGAATAAGTAATTGAATAATTAACACTGAATAAAAGAACAAAGAGTCAGAAAGATATGAATAGGGAATATGCCTGTCTACACTCCTTTGTAACCCCAGGATCAACCAGTGCTGGCACACAGAAAGCAGTGAACAATCACTAAATAAATCTACAAGTGAAGGCACCAGGTAGCCCGTGAGTGGTGCTCACTGTCGGTGAAAGAGGACTGACATGGTCAACACGTGTATGAAAGGCAGAGACCAACCGCTCCGTGACCTGGAACCACTCCGTGACCTGGAACGTCATGCCTTTGCACATGGTGACCCCTCACCTGGGAGGCCCTTTTCCCCCTTCAAGGCCTGCCAAGTTCCATTGATTCTTCTAAGTTTAATCTGCTCTGAATGCTGCCTACTCAGAGGAGGCGGCGGAGTTTCAGCCTCCCACAGAACACAAAGTGTTCACCTCTTCGGCAAATGCTTGTGGAGGGCCTGTAGTATGTGTCAGGGCCTGCCATTGATACTGAGGAAAAGCAGCGAGCAAAAGCACATAGTGCCTCTGCCTCCATGTAGCTTGTACTCTGGGCAGCGAGGCTAGGCAGGCGAGAAACAAATGGGCACGGAAATAAACCAAGTCCGGAGGTAAGAAATGCCTCTGAAGAAAACTACAGCACAGTGAAGGCGCCAGGAAGTGTGGTGTGGTAGAGGAAGAGGTGTTGTTACTTCACCGAAGGTAGCTGTGGAAGACTCCACTGATAAGGCGCTATCTGGGTGACATCTGAAGGAAGTGGTGGCTGTAAACATTCCAGAGGAAGAGCATTCTAGGCCAAGGGAAGAGCCTGTGGCTGGGATAGTCGAGGGAGGTGTTTTATTACAATGTTTGGCAGCCTGCTCTGCCTTTCTCTGTGTGTCTATCTGCCCACAAGTCTGTGAGCCTCCTAAAACTGGGGATCCCCCACCAATGAACTCGCTGTCCGCAAGTAACCAGCAGCGGGAAGAGGTGGGAACCTATCAAGAGGAAAGCAGCTGAAGAGATGCTTCCCCAGACTTATTTCGGTTTGGGAAGAGAGACTCAGAAGAAATACAGCAGCTGCTCTCCTCTAAAGAACAGTCCTCTGTGAAGGAAGTACACTGAATCCCCGCTGCTTCAAATGGCAGAAGTCAAGTGGCAAGGAAGAAATGAGGGAGGCAAATTTCCAACTCCCTAGCAGAGACACGTACGTGTGTAACCATCAGAGTTATAGTCTCTGGCTGCCTCGTGCAGTACTTAGTGCCCCATCACCGGAGGGATCTGTGTAAGGGCTACTAGGTCTGAGATGCAAGTGAGACAAGAGGTCCACCAAAGCCCCTTGCAGCTCTACGGTTTGGTCATCCCACTGTTCCCACCATTTATCTGGCACTTTAAGACAAGCTCACGCAGGATGCCATTGCTCACTACAGTGCAACTGGGATCCGTGTCCTATCTGTGTGTCTGGCACAGCATGGGGTTAGGAAGTGTAGCATCTTTTAGTCAGCTATAGAGAAGTGAGGGGGTTAAACTATGAGGAGACCCCAAGGGGGAAGAAGAAAGGGTCTATGGCGTGAACCAAGGTAAGAGATGACAAGAAGGCCTGAGCAATGGACAGCAGGGATGGAAAAGACGGCACCAAGTCAGTCCTCAACACGTTCAACCAGCCCCCACCTAAACAACTGATGACCCCTCTGTCTGAGGAGGCCACATGCCCCATTACTAAAATGTGGTTCTTTTCCACCAATGACAACTGAAAAGGTGCCAGAACCAACCAGATTGGACCGTGACAACCATTCTGTATGTTGTGGACGATCAATGGGGGAGCCACATCGGTGCAGAGGTAATGATGGGCATCTGCTGTGAGCCGGAAGTAGCCATCTATCAGGGACACAAAGGACAAGGCCTCTTCATGGGACGAGAGCTTCAGTTCCTGGTGAGAGAGAAGACACGGCCATGGTTACATCACATGCCCACCACTTGAGGCAGCTGATTTTATGAGGAGGTCCACACCGAGAAGATATTTAAAACACAATGCAGAACACATGACTTCAAAGTAACTGTACCCCTTGCATTAATACAGGATTTTGACTGGTTAGCATACGTTCTTGTCTATTATCTCCAAACTATCAGATGAGGTATGGCGTGTCTGTGTGGGAGGAAGGCGGAATGGGCAGCTGTGGCAGGCAGGAGACCTATGTAGAGGCTGCCACCCGGGTCCAGAGGGAGGAGCAAGCCTGCACCAGGGGTACAGTGGTATAAAAGTGGAGTTAAAAAAAAGTGGAGGAAGTAGGAGCAGAGGGTGTGCAAGTGGTACCCTAGTCTTAGCAAGGAGCAATGACTGACTCAGTAGTATCAGTCCCATTTTACAGAAAAGGAAACAGAGGCACCGGGGCTTCCTCTCATACAGAGTTGGTCTAGAAAGTGAAACGCCCAGATTTTAAACCAGGAATGGTCCCAGACAATGATGAGGTTGCTAGATTAAGACCAGAGACCTCTGAGGGTTTGGAGGAGGCAGAGAGTCTTACTCAAAGTGGGAGAGCAAAGGCAAAAATGGAGAAGATGAGAGAGGGAACTTCCACGGAAGGAAGGTTTTCAAAAAAATAACAACAACGACGACAAAAAAACACCTGGAGGTGAAGACAGGTGATTTTTTTTTTTTTTTTTTTTTTTTTTGGCCTTGGTCATAGAGCCCTGAACAAAAATTACCCATGTGAGAGGAGCCATGGGCTCAACCAGGAACATCTCCTAGGGAAGGAGGAAGGAAAACCATTTAGAGGTTTGTCTCATAAAAACATTAAAAAGCACCAGAGCTTTCTGAGGGCAAAATGACATATGAGAATAAGACTCTGTCCACAGCACTGGAGAAAGGACAGGCTGCTGGCAGAGAAAAAGAGAGATGAGAAAATCAAAGTTTCCCTGTGGATAGAAGCAACTACAAAGGATGGAAGTAAGTGGGGCTAATGATAGCTATCTTGCCAAAAGAAGGGTCTGCTGTGGACCTGTGAGCCAAGGAGGTCAAGGGCGCCACAGGGACAGATATTCAGTCAGGAGGCTCTGGGCTAAGTGTGCATTCTTTCATCCACCTGCAGCTCCCCACAGAGCAAACGCAGGGTAGTCTGGCTCGGGCAGCCCTTCACCCAATCACATAAAAAATCAAGACCACACAAACACTTAAGTTCCCTAGAACAGAAGTCTAAATGGAAATGGAAGATGTCAAGAAGAGGCAGAGAGGAGAGATATTTAACCTGATGACATGCTACCGTCATGCTTTCCTGAAAGACCAGCAGCCAAAGTATTGCCTGATCAAAGGGCTTAGAAATTCCATGCCTGGGAAGGGACAGGGGAAAGAGATAAAGAAGAGAGAGCATCACAGTGTTAGCTGCAGGTTCTGGAACTAGTTTATGTGGGCTCAAGTCACAGTATCTCCACTGGCTATTACGGTGAAGCATAGGTAATCATCATTTTTACAGGTCACAAACTGTCAAATATCCGCCATTTCAAATAGTTTAACCGAAGAGCTGTGTGACCCTGGGGAAGTTACTTAAGCTTTTTGTGCCTCAGTTTCCTCCTCTGTAAAATGAAGATAATAACACACCCACCACCTCTAAGGTCAATGAAAATGGAAAGAGTTTACATTTGTAAAGCACTCAGAATGGGAAGTGCCTGGCATGTAGTAGGAGCTAGGGTTTGTAAAGAAAAATGATGTCCAGGGATATCACACAGTTCTTTCTCCCTACCTTCCTCTGCTCCCCACAGAGCATGCAGCTGGCAGACTCGCCAGCCCACGCTGTCCGAGGAGGCTCCAACCAAGGGGACAGGTGTGCCACCCAGGCGCCAGGCCAGACTCCACCAGCCAGGACAGGGTAGGAGCAGGCTCACCCACACTGTCCCAGCTGGCTGCTTCTCCGGCTCTGCTGCGTGTCTTCAGGGTTTGACCCTGCTGAAAAGCCAGAGCACGGATGCACCACAAGTTCTTCCTCAGGGCAGTCTCTGGGGAAGAGGGTGCCTTGGGGCTGGAGCTGCCACTTTCTCTGTCTACACCTGTCCATGGTCTCCCATTTCCCCACTGGAAACAGAGCCAAAATGCCTACAGCTACGCTTTCTGTAAAGACTAAAGAAGATCCTGCGGACACAGCATATAATCCAGCCTCATCTCTGTAATATGTGGAATTAAGAGCACTTATTTTGACCTTCTCCCTCCCTCCATCTCCATCTACCCACTAACATCTATCTGGACTCTTCTACTTCTCCCTTCACTTTATTTTTCACTAACAGTTTCCTGATGAAATTAACTGTTTATTGCTAAAAGGGGGGTTAGGAGAATAGAAAGATTTAAACCACAAATAACAGCTGTTAATATTTGACTCTCCTAACAGTGTGTCTATATATATGCATACCTTTAAAAAACATTTTGAACAAAATCGGTACTGTTCTATAGAGAGTTTTATAGTCTTTTTTCCATTTACAAAGCATCTTCCCAGATTATAAAATTTTAGCAAATTGTTTATGTAATATTCTACTACTCGGGTAGAATATTCTACCATTCTCCTATTATTGTATACTTAAGTAATTTTCAGTACTTTTACACTATAAATTCCACTGGGACAACCATACTCATTCACAGACCACTGGTTTCATCTCTCATTGTTTCTAGAAAACAGCCCTAAGTTCCCAAATGGAGGGATGCATAAATACTTTCAAGGCTTTCAGTATGTATTGCCAAACTGCTTCCAAAAGGCAAGACAACAGGGTGTTCATCTGTTCTAAACCAAAGCACCAGATTCGTTCTCACCACTAAATGTTATCCTTTTGACACAGTTTTTGCCAAATCTGGGGCAAAACATGGTTTTTCCTTGGTGCTGACTACCTTCCTTCTGCGAGTGCCCCGCCTCGGCTGCCCATCCTCTCCACGTGCAGTCAGCCGTGACTTCCCCAACACAAACATGTTTATTTTGGCAGCGTTCCTACTTCCCCTGCCAAAACTGGCCTGCCTGTCTAAATTATGTCCTTAAGTGATACCAAAAAAGAGGAAGTGAGATTGAACACCCCCCTTCCTCCATCCAAGAGTGACTAGGGTGTGACTGACACCACAACGAGGACAGCCACTGTGGCCACAGCCTCCAGCCTGACCAGTCTGCTGACATGCAAAGCGGGGCTTCCCACCGACCTCATCCTAGAGGAAGCACTGGACTCCAACTCCACAGAGAGGCCAAAGGAGCCCTTGGGGGAAAAAGCTAAGGTTCACCCAGCTCTTTTTCCTTCAAATCCACTCCCCTTCATGAATTAAATATTTATGCTGTAACATCTTTGGGAGGGCAGCAAACCCAAGGTAGAGACACATTTGCAAAACCAAAGAGAGGCACTCAAAAATCCCAGTGTCACTCAAAAACCAGCACTGATAATGTCAGTGAAAACAAGAGGGATTTCTGGCATTAAGGAGGAGAAAGAGACGGTCATCAGATTTTTTCTTCGGGACAGGAACTCCATAAAGCAAGTGCCGCATCACCGTCCTCCACGAAGTCTCCCGCTCGTCACAAGATCCAGACAGAATTACTTCCAGAGCAAACTTACCATTTTTTTGTTGTCCTGCTTATTGATGCTGACCACAGACTCCTTTATTACAATGTGAGTGATTTCAGGGAAGTAAGAAAAATTGTTCCACTCCTCCCGGATTTTATTTTTCTCCTCATCCTTCTTGTGTTTATTTTCCAGTTTTTTCCGTTTCAGTTTGTTTTTTTCCTTTTCAACAGGAACAACCTGATAAGATGCATAAGGGTGCCAGAGTTAAGTTGGCTTTCTCATTTTCTACTGGTGAAAAAGGTTCATGCTTCTGGAAAACTAAAGCAGGGCTTGCTTACATTCAAAGAGAAGAAAGCCGGCCTGCCTGGACTTACAAAGGAACTGAGGGAGGGGGCACAGGTGGGCTTAGGATTGCAGTTTTGGGGCCAATCAGGGAATCTTGGGATTCTATACCTGGGAGGGACCTTAACGACCACAGTGACTAAATGCTTCACATAATCTATAACATACAAGTGAACTCAAAGAGGGAAATAACCGCTCACTAGACAGGCATCTACCATCAGGTCCTTTCACTTCCGGACTGATAACTGTTTCAACACAAGCACAGAACATGTCTTCCCAAATGTGGCTGGACAGAACCTGAGCTTTCCCCTTTTAGAAACTACCACTGATTAGCTTGACTTCCTAACAACATTCAAGTTGAAACTTTAAAAAGGAGATATGAATCCCATGCTTGAATAATCTGCTACTTATTAACTAGTTAGGTCATCAATTTGAGCCTCCATTTCCCTGTCTGTAAAACAGAGCTTACACTTCACAAGGTTCTTGGAGGATTAGGTAAGTTCTCATTAAGAGTATACCTATTCTACAGAAAAAAAGCACTCGGTAAGTGTTAGGCATTGTTTTCTTAGTATGAATAAGGAGGAGAAAATAAATCTCACCATTACTTTAGTATTATTGATAACCATAATGAGGATGATGGCAGCTACAATAATTTTTGAACATTTATTACATGCTGGGCTCTGTGCTGCCATTTAGTTCTCTCAACAGCTCCACAAGGCAGATCCAGTAATATCTCCATTGTACAGATGAATAATATGCAACTGATACAGGGGAAGTAACCCCCCAAAGCTGGAGAACTATAAATAGTGGCACCCAGATCTGAACCAGGTCCATTTAGGTCTAAAACCCATGCTTTTTAAACCACTCTTCTCCATTGCCTCATCCAGCAAATACTTCAAAAAAGCAGCTTTAAATTGCAAAATCAATTATGCTATTTCATGGAGCCAGAAGCCTAAGTTCAATTCTTGGCACAGTCGCTCATTAGTTATGACCTTGAGCAAGTTTCTTAACCTCTCTGTGCCTCTTTACATTCATCTATAAAATAGGGATAATTGGTAGTACACTCCTCAGGGCTTGCTTTTTTTTTTTTTTTTTTTTTTTTTTTCAGCATAAATGAGTAATACATGTAAAATGCTTAGAAAAGTACCTGGAATGTGGAAGGTACTCAGTAAATGCCTGCTATTACTATTATATGACTACATATTATATAGGCCATTGTTCTGTTTCTCTATGTCCCTACAGAGCTCAGTAAATGCTTACTCCAGTCTACTGCTGCATGAACACAATAAAAGACACATGGTCTCTAACCCGAACACACTCAGAGGCTGGGGATGATGGACATGCAAACAGGTAGTCCCAACCGGATAAACAGAACAGGTCTCTTCTGACACACGTCGGTCCCTGCTGATCAGCTACCCACCACCACTTACATTTGGTTTCTGTCTCCACTGGATTCCAAGATTTCCAGTTACCATCACTTCATAGTAGAGAACGTTTCCACTGTCGTTCGGATGAAACCAATTCATCTCATTTTCTGATGAAATCAGTAACATGGAAGTCTCAAATATTTCTGCGCCATAATGTTTTGTCAGTGTTTCCAAGGTGGCCAGGTACTTCACCTTTAGGTCATGAGTAGATACACTGCTGTCACAAATAGTCTTGTTGTTAAATTCCTTCAGGAAATCCTTGAAAACATTATTTATCCGCATCCTGGTGAGAAGGTTCCTCTGTCTGATGGACTTATTCAATGTTTCTGGAATATATCGCTTGTAGCTAAAACAAAGTAGAAAAATAGGTCTTTCTTTCATGTCCAGGTCAGCAGAGAACAGTCCAGAAACAAACCCAAGTCTACAAATCTTCCTTCCATGTGTTGCCCCATGAGAAAGGAAGATCTACCCCCAGGGGGGGTCTTAGATGGGGTAAGCATGAGGAGAGGATAATCACAAGGAGAAAAAGGTGAATAGGGACTGGAAGAGAGGGAAAAACACATGTTCCACAGGTTTTACTGAAACGGGAATTCCTGCAAGTATCATCCAGTTTTCTGAGTCACAAAGGCAGGCAGCAAAACTGACATGAATTCATGTGTTCGCTGGCTGCTGTTGCTGTTCCTGCGCTCGCTGGTGCCCATATACACTGTTACTAAGACTCAGCCTCAGTTAGACAGTGGTTTGAAAGGTGTCAAGCGTGATTATACATATTCTGTATATTCTACTTTCAGGTCTGTTTTATACTTTCTCTAGAAGATCACATGCTGCTTTTGTAAGAAAGGGGAAAACACACAAAATCTAAATACAAACGACTCTGGGTCTGCCACATCGAAGTGTCCCAGATGTGGTAGCAGATTGACAAGGAAGCTGAAGGATCAGTTACTTACGCTCCTGCTGATGGGAGAGTGTCTATGACTAACAGTCTCAACAAGAAGAGTATGAACACCCATGAAGGAAAGGACAAATGGGGGACCAGACAAGTGGGGAGACTGGTCTGCCTATCACTGCCAGGCCTGAGATGGCATCTAGCACTGGGCAGTCCCTGATGTGCAAATGCTCTCTAACAGTGGGAAACAGCAAAGTTTGGAATTTAACCCCATAAACACTGTAACATTTTATTTTATTTTATTTTATTTATTTTTAAAGATTTTATTTATTTATTTGAGAGAAAGACAGTGAGAGAGAGCACAAGAAAGGACAAGATCAGAGGGAGAAGCAGACTCCCTGTGAGCAGGGAGCCCAATGCGGAACTCGATCCCAGTACTGGGGGATCATGACCTGAGGATCATGACAGTCGCTTAACCAACTGAGCCACCCCGGCGCCCAACACTGTAACATTTTAGATTAAGGTAACAGAGAGGAAGATTAAAGGGGAGGTGTCATTTTTCACCTTAGTCTCATGACAAAGGACAGAGGAGGTGCCCAGAGCAAAAGCCACAGCAAAAAATGAGAAGGCAGCAGCAGAGTACGAATCCAGCCCCAGCTCACTGAGGAGCAGCCCCCACTCTGTGCTCACTCCCTGCCAGACTCTGCCCCGGGACAAGAGATACATGGAGGAAACTTCTGAGAAAGCGCATGCCGCCTGTCACAAACAATACAGCTCTAAATAACTTGCTCTTCGCAATGAGACATTCGTAAGAACTCCTTAGTAAATACACACACATTTTATAGATGGGTAGAAATTACACAGATTGAACATGTCTTCATAAAGACTCGATCATGAATGACATTTTTAAGTAAATACAGTTTTCCTGCGGTAACATCGTTCGCATCAGCCTCATGGCTCTCTGGTGAACTCTAGTTCAGGCTGCCTGTAGAACATGCTGAGAAGAATGTTAACATGGTCCTGCACAAGAGGAAAAGGGTAGGGATAAAGGCAATGCCCACCATGGGCAGAGGCACACGAGGCAGGCACAGCCCACCCATCTGGTTGGCGTCCCTAGCCCAGAGCGTTCACCCAAGTCAGCCAACATTCAGTATCAGGTCACTGTTATCATTATAACCGTGCTGCCTTTTATAAATGTTCTAAACCAGATTTGGGCTCTGCAGAGAGGAGCGGTCAGCCAAAAACTAGCAGCAGTTATACGGAGCCGGGTGAGGACATATAAAAATAGCACCGTCCCCACGATCAATTCTTTAGCCAGCAGGAAGATTTACCTGATGTCCTTGGGCAGCTCTGGCAACTGCATCTTCTTCATCATGGCGTAGTGGGAGATAGCCAGGACAGCCATTCCCAGACACTCATTCTCAATATCGTGCCCATCTTGCTCGGTCTTGGGGTCTCGAATGGGAGCCAGACATTTGACCAAATCATACTGTCCCTTTGGAGCAGAGATGAGAAGAAATGAACCACCACTGAAGTTTCAATAGTCCACCCTGTCTCTGTTCTTGAGAGGAAGGTTCCCCACACAGGGAGGTGCCTCCCAGAAAAGCAGGACAGCAATGAGACTAACAAGGTCTACAGTTTCTCTGGCACCAAAGCTCCTTCTCAACAGATGGGTATGGAGGGGCTCAGGAAATGTTCTCCCCAGGTTAATTCATTTAACAAATATTTACTAAGCAGTGTATTAGCTGCTGCTGAACAGCATAAACATGTGAGGCCCCTTCTGAGGGCTTATCTAGAAATGATAGCGGCCAGCAGCGCGGACTGGGCTCAGACAGCACCTGGGTAAGGGAGGGTCACAGCTGGCTGGGGTTGGCTCTCGGGTCCTGCAAACATATGCTGAGATATCCTAGCCTGGGAACTGGGTGTATGACAGGCATGGTACCACACCCCGTTCTGAGGTAGACTTAGAGAAAGGGGAAGGAATCCACATTTTACAGTGCATCATTACCACACATAAGTTTATCAGCATCTGTTAAGTTCTAGTAGTGAAATGTCTCACCAAAATATGCCCCCCTCCCTGGTGGAGGGGCACAACATCCCAAGAGCCAGTGAGGGCTTCAAAAACAAAAAAGAAAACTAAAAATCAGTACCTGCCACTTGTCTTGTACAGAGTAATGACGATGATGTCAGTGCTAGTTCCCCTTTCTTGAACCCTAACCTCAGTGCCTGACACTGTGCTAGGTTTCTTTTTATTTACTGTTTCACTTAATCTTCGCAACAGCCCTATGAGATGGATGTTGACATCATCAGCTCTACCTAACGGCAGAGGAATCTAAGGTACTCAAGGGTTAAATCCCTTCGCTCACTCATTTGGTAATTACTGATTACCGAGAACCAATTATGGGCCAGATGTCATTCTAGGTGCCGGGGAGATACAGAGCAGTAAGCCAGACTGCATTCCTGACCTCAGGGAGACTCTGTGCTGAGAAGAAAGAATAAACAGTAATAGCACGAAGCAGCTACAAGAGACAAAGTCAAGTGGAAAGACAGAGTGCTGTGGGAGCCAGGGATCCAGAAAGCGGCAGGGGACAGTCAAACCTGATGTGACCCCAGCGCTCTGGATCATCAACACTGCGCTACAGCCACACTCAATCCTTACTAACCCCAAGTGCATGAACTCTTCGGCCTTTCTCTAGCTGGAACAGAGGCAGACATGAAGTCTAGGGGCAGTGTTTGTAGAGAAGTAAGACACGCACTTTCCCTGAAGGGACTTCGGTTTAGTGGTCTCTGGACAGAGGCTTCTCACTGCTGCAGTTCCTCTTCTTTCCAAGGTAGGACTTCTTGTTTCTCTCACGTACGAAAAGGACACTGTTCACTTCCATAAACTAAGGGCCAACAACAATCGTCTCTGCCAGCAATGTGTGAAGAGCAGAACAAAATCTGAAACTATTTTGTTTGGCTGTGGTTTTCTGTAAACATCACCATACAACTACCTTAACTAACTCATTCCTGAACCTCTCGAAGGTCAGATTCTAATGCAGTACTTATTCTTGGAAGTATGGCATGCTCTTCCCTTGAATATATAAAACTGGGAGATTGAACAAAAAAACGATCCATCTGAAAATGGCCAGTTTGTTTTATTTTTTCCACACACTACCTGCCCGGGGCTGTGCATTTCTGTTGTCTCTAAGGCCAATCCTAAGGTATGTATGGAATGGGAATCAAATGCAACCAGAAACTAAAGCTGTACAACAGAATAGAACTGGGACACAAAAATCACATGTGAAAGTGTATCTTAAAGAAATAATACGACACATGTACAAATACACGTGGAGGCTGTCCACAACAAACTGTTACTATAACGTTGATAGCATAATAGGGAAAACTTCAGAAAAAACAAAAACGTCCACAAAGAGGAGAGGAGTTAAATAAATGAGGCCTCTCCCTCTGGATTACAGCCTCATACTCACTTCCTACCTGCAATCTCCAGAGGCATCTCCAAAAGAGAATGCCTAATTCCCACCCCTTCTCTAACCTGCTGCTCTCCGTCTTCCCAATATAGGAAAGAAAGGACTCCATTCTTTATCAAACACTGCCCCGAATCATCTTTGTTACTTCACATTCTCCCCCTTTCCACAGCCAACCCATCAACAAGTCCTATCAAGTCTATCTCCAGAACTGCAGCTCCACCCATTTTTCTCCAACCCTCCTTCCACCACACGAGGCCAAACCAGCATCTTGCTCTCACATGATCTGCTCATTGTCAGTCTTCCTAGTCTCACTCCTTATCACTCTCCTCTCCTGCAGCCACGCTGACTCTCCTCTCAACTCCTGCCTGCCTCAGAGCCTTCCCACATTCTGTTCCTTCCCTATCAGACTCTTCCAACCAGGGAGATTTTGCCCTGCAGGGGATATCTGGTAGTATCTGGAGACCTTTTTGGTTGTCACACCTGGTGGGGGATGACATCTAATGACTGGAGGCCAAGGGTGTGGGTAATTATGCTACAGTGCATAGGGCAGTCCCTCACAGCAAAAAAATTATCCAGCCCAAAATGTCAGTAGTGCTGCTGCTGAAAAACTACAGGCAAGAAATACTCTCCCCTCTCCTTCCTGAGAACTGCAGACTCCTTGTTCTTCCAGATTCAGCACAAGTGCCACCTCCTTAGAGACCTTCTCCGATCTTCAAATTAGATCTTCCCACTCCAACCCCCGCCCCATATTCCTTATCACAAAAGCTTTTTCCTTTGTGGCACTTCTCACAATTCTTATGTATTACTTATGTATCATTTCATTTGCTTATTTGTTTTCTGTTTGTCCAACTTGGTTTCACGTCTCCTGCTTGCAGAGACGATGTGTGCCTTGTTCCACACAGTACTCAAAGTACCGTAGTGAGGAGTACACAGACACCCAGCAGTAAGTACCTGCTGAATGACTGAGTGATTAGGAAGTCATTAAGACAAAGATCTGTATTTCTAATTGACATCTGAAATATCATCAAGAGGATGGATAAAAAAGCAGTTAATAAAATGGTATTTTCAAAAACCACACAGTACATAATAAAGACATATACGGCAAAATCAGGAAGCATATCATCAAAAATATTTGTTCTCTCAGATAGGGTAATATAATTTAGGTGACTCTAACTTCTCTTTTTTTGTCTAGCTTTGAATCTTCCAACCCTACTATTGCTGTGACTCAGGGCAGCCACCTCCTTACTCCCCTAACGTTACTGCCTACTGAGATGTCCCCCTCTTCACCCCACTGAACTACACCCTCCCTCGCTTGCAGCATCCCTCTGCAGCTCCACGGGAGGCAACGCAGGTGAGAAGGAAAATGATAGGAGATGAGGGGAAAAGAGATGAATAGGGTAGAGTAAAGCCTCAAAAACCCACAAGTGGGACAACCAGCCCCCAGGCACTGAATTTGCTGCCTTTTTCCACCTCATCTCAGGCTGAGTCCAAGGACAGCAAGGCCTGCCTACAGAGCAAGCCCCACATCCTAGATCCCAACCAGGTCAGCTGCCCAAGGGAATGTGAACCCTGTGATGCCCAACCCACCATGGGAACTCCAGGTTCTCCAGGGCCCCAACTTCTTACCTGAGCAAACAGATATTCCAAAGAACTGGCATCAAGGAGAGGGGTTGCATCTGGGACTTTTTTTTTCTCATAGCCATTTTTCTGCTTCTTTGGAGAATGTCGCCATACAGACTGCTCATTATCATTGGTCCCATGCCAGTTGGTGAAATAGAACCTGGAAGGCAGGAAAGAAAATAAATGTCAATTTTGGGAAAGGGGACCTCAGAATGCATGGGAGGGGTGTCCTGATTGTACCCACAGTGCTTGGTGCTGGAGGCTAAACTTGCTTGAAAAGCAAGCAGACAGACTGACCTTTCAGCTGTGGAGCACTTCACTGGTTATAGAGTCCTTTTTCTTTTCACTCTTACAAACACTCTGTGAAGAGCATCCTGCCAGAACCTGTCTATGACTCAGGAAGATAAAGTGACTTTCCACTACATCTTCCTAAATAGGAAAATACAGCTGACTAGAACCAGAAGTTGGCCCAGCCACTCCCTTCACCTTTAATAATGCCATCCTGCCTTGAATCCAAGACCAATTTTATGCCCATTTCAACACTTCTGTTCAAACATTTTTTAAGTTTCCTTGTATAATCAAGATGTACAGTTAATATGGCAGTGGCTCCTATTTCCCAGACCACTGTTATTAAATTGATAGTTTATCTTACATGCAATAAAGTTAAAGTAGAAGAAATACACGAGCACTACTACAACCATCAGTTTCCAGTGGTGTGAAGTTAATAAGCACTTTATGCCATTTCATCCTTACAGCAACTGCACAAGGTAGATTCTGCTGTTTCTATGTTACAGACGAGGAAAACTGAGGTTCCAAGAAGCTAGGTGACCTGACAACAAGCCTGTTCTTTTTTTTTTTTAATTTATTTATGTATTTATGTATTTATGTATGTATGTATGTATTTATTTATTTGACAGACAGAGATCACAAGTAGGCAGAGAGGCAGGCAGAGAGAGGAAGGGAAGCAGGCTCCCTGCTGAGCAGAGAGCCCAATGTGGGGCTCGATCCCAGAACCCTAGGATCATGACCTGAGCCGAAGGCAGAGGCTTTAACCCACTGAGCCACCCAGGCGCCTCACAAGCCTGTTCTCTTAACTACCGCTTGCCTCTGCCACCTATGAGAGAAACACAGCAAACTTTGGGATGTGTGAAATTGACTAAGCCAAGCTGCTGCAGCCCATCTCTAGGCTAGAGACTCAGCTGGTACCCAGGTCTTTCTCCCTTGACATGCCCAGGTGCTGACCAAAAACAACTATGGTAGGAAGAAGCAACAAATAAAATTTCCTCCCAAAAAAGCGCTACCACTAAACTCAGACATCTGTCACTGAGCTATATTTGCAAAGCTTACACACACCAGGCCCTGTGCCAGGCTGGGATTCAAAGGGCATAGTCCCTAGTGCTCTGGAGTTCCTTGTCTATGTGTGTATATATGGCAATCGGTCAAATCCAACAATAGCAATGAAGTAACATAAAAGGGGCATGTCTCATAAGTAGGATGACAACATTGTGACTTTCATGGAGCCCATAGTTTTACCTTCATAAAAAAATATTAAAGTTATATTTCATATCTGTGTTGATATAAAGATTAATACAATCCAGGCTACATTACATTCATTTTTTTCTCTGATTTTAAAAGAAATTAAAGCACTTTTGTGAGTCTTTAACAATATTATGAGCCCTAGGCACTGTGCCTAATAGATAAATTGTCCCTGGACAGAAGAGATGCTTTGATGAGGTGCCAAAGGAGGGAAAAACTGCCCTCCACTGCCAGGGGAAGTGGCAGGGAAGGGAGGCAAAGGCTGGGAAGAGAAGTTGGGACCAGTATAAATAAATGCCAGGCTTTAGAGTTGGGACGGTACACAGCTGGCAGAGAAGACTGCAGGGCTAGCTCATGTGAAGCAGGATATCCACAGACAAGCAGATGCCTATGGCAATAGTCTGGACAATGCCGTGAGCTCTGTGGGGGCAGAGGCCTCAGCTATCTTGCTCAGCACTGAACCCCCCCAACATACAACAGACACTTAATACATGATTGTTGGAAGAATAAACGACAAATGAACGGACTAGTTCGAGAAGCCGCAATTAACATGGAAAGGGAAGGGTGGATAAGGACGTTACTATAAAAGTAAAATTAACATTTTAAAACTTTCCTGGATTCTATATAGCCCATCTTCCCTATAATTTACGAAAGTGACTGAGAATCTGACAGTGAGTTTTGGTGTCTCTCACTCACACACAGAAAGAACCATATATCCATGGGGCCCGTGTGTGGCATGAACCATAGCTGTGGGATTGTCCTCTCACCCTCCTATGCGAGGCGATCGGACCCTGGTAAAGGCAGAGGCGTGAGGCTATCAGCTGAGGAAGAGGCTGGCATTTATGCTCTCGCCAGACTGAGGAGTCTACTCTTCAAGGGCAGGACAGAGCCCAGGACGAGAGGACTCAATGAGGATCAGTGATCTCAGGTAAGCAGAAAGTAAGAGGTGAACGGGTGCTACCAACTGAGTAAATACAGGAAGCTGAGACTGGGGGAGAAAAAAAAAAATCCATGAGAACACAGCCAGCTCCTCTGGCTACCAAGTCAAGTCCAAAACAGAAAGTTTTTGTCATTCACATAATAAGCAGACATCTGCTAGGAGTTCCAGGGATCGGCACGGAAGGAGACAGGTGACGGGTCTAAACAGGACGATGGAGAATAGTAGCAAAGAAAGTCTGAACGTTTACCCCGTGCCAGGCACTCCTTATGCAAACATTCAAAGCACAGCTTGCAAAGAAGGCATGCAGACAGGTAAATTCTGTTTGGCAGTAGAAGACGGTGATGATGAGAAAACAAGAGTTGCGTGCAATATGGAAAGGCACCTGGGAGAAGGGGTAAAAGGATCTCTGGGATGGAGGAGGTTGTTCAAAAGAGAAGCACGGAGGACAGCTTCTCTTTGAACCAGTCCAAGGCACGGTCCTCTTCTGCCATATCCCACTCAGTCTCTATGAGAAAGAGTCCTCAGACCTGGTAAAGACAACAGCCCAACCTACCCTCTTTGGGCAGAACATCATCTTCAATGAATTTTTTGAGGTTGTTGTCTGAGCCCTGTGGAACCAGCTTTGATTTGGAAATTTTTGGCAAGCTGTTCAGACAAGACTGAGGGAATCAAACTAATGGGCAGCTTTGCTACCTTAGTAATGGCTAAGCAGAGCCTAAAGCAAGGCTGGGTCTCTAGAAATTGCCCATGGCCAAAGGCTGACAGCCTTCTATTTAATAAGATGACGAAACAAAAAACAAAAACCTTTAATCAGTAACTACCAAAATCAACACCTTCCTAATTCTGTCCTAGTAGGACAAAACCAGAGGGTACCTTGAAAAGAGAAACTCTATACTTTGTTTTAAATTCAAATGTAATTAACATACAGTGTTGTATTAGTTTCAGGTGTACAATATAATGATTCAACAATTCTGTAACATTCCTAGAAGAAAACACTAGCAGTCATCTCTTTGACATCAGCCTCTGAACGTTTTTTCTAGATAGGTCTCCTGAGGCAAGGGAAACAAAAACAAATTGAACTATTGAGATGACACCAAAACAAAAAGCTTTTGCACAGGCAAGAAAAACCCTCAACAAAACAAAAACACAACCTAACAAATGGGAGAAGATAACTGCAAATGACATAGCCAATAAGGGACTAATATCCAAAATAAAGAACTTCTACAACTCAAAACCACATAATAAATAATCCAATTAAAAACTGGGCAGAAGACACGAACATTTTTCGAAGACGACATACAGACAGCCAACAGACACATGAAAAGATGCTCTACACTCCTTTTCAAAATTAATTATTGGGGCGCCTGGGTGGCTCAGTGGGTTAAGGCTCTGCCTTCAGCTCAGGTCATGATCTCAGGGTCCTGGGATGTGGTCCCACATCAGGCTCTCTGCTCAGCAGGGAGCCTGCTTCCCCTGACTCTGCCAGCCTCTCTGCCTACTTGTGATCTCTGTCAAATACATAAATAAAATCTTTAAAAAAAATTAATTATCAAGATGTTCATCAAACTTGGGCCACACACAAATTGCCAGTATTAGAATATGCTAATGGAAAAAAATAAAGAATGGCATAAATAAATATAGTATAACAGCTGCGTAGATTCCTTTTCAAAATGGCGTGGAGGAACAACACAGGAAGGAAGAGGGAGGGAGAGAGAGATAAAAAGATAGACCTATCAAGGAGATACGCCTTCCTTGCAAGTTTTTGAGAAAACTACATTACAAATGACTGCATATTCTAAGTTTACATACAGATATTATACACAACAAATTCTCCTTAGGTTTCTATAGAATTTTTACTAATGGATAGTGAAAGATCAAGAAAATATTTTTTTTCTTAAAAAGGAATAAAACATAGGCTTATATTAAGATATATTATTTAAAAAAAACTATTAAAAGCATTATCTAAAAACAGAAAATTAAAATTGAAGCACAGAGTATTTCCCAAAATAGAGCTGGGATTCCACTAAAATAGTCACTAACATTTGTTTTGTATTACACCTTCTTTAGTGGTGAGATTATGAGGTTTCAAAGTTTTTGTAGTTTGTTGTAATGCAAATGTTTTAGCTTTGGGTGGGATCTCTTTTCCAAGTTCAAAGAGCCTGTGGTAACAAAGCAATATCCTGTTGAAGCGCAATGTCAGGTACAAAGTCGAGGTGCCAAAAAATGAAGTAGCCCAGCACTTCCTGGCAGCTAACCAAACAAGGAGGAGGCAAAGATAACTAGCTTTTAATGGTGAGTGAGGGACTCACTCAACACTCAACAAAGACCAATGTCTCAAGGAGGGCTCTGGGGCTGAAAAGAGGATTCACTAGGTGTGTGACTCTGGGTAACTCACTTCTCCATTTGGGACACAGTTCTCCCCCAAACAACTGCAGTAGTTGAATTAGGTAAACTCAGGTCTCATCCAAGTCCCAATTCTACCATTCCAGATTCCGAGCCAAGTGGAGAGATCTACAAGGAAAGACTAGAACTCAGTGTCATGCCCCCTTCCTGGACTGCCAGCTGCAAAGATACATTTTAATGCTGGATCACAGAGCCAACCCCCCGAGGCCACAGAAAGCAAGATTACACTTTGAAAAACAAATCCAAATATAGTCAGAAGGCTCAGCTGGGTGGAGTGAATGTCTCCCTAAATCTGGGGCGTGAAATCTCACATGCTACACACCTTTCCCCTTAAAGTGAGACCTTGGGTGAGTACAGAAAGAAGAAAAAAAAAAAAAAAAAGTCAGCCCAAAGAAAGGTCTGGTTCAACTGCCGCTGGGAAAAGCACCCAGGCCGGTCTGGAATGTGAACAACTCTAACACCTTCCCAAAGGAAACAGCAGCTAAGATATTGGGGAGAGCCTCCCAGATCCCCCACGGCTTTTCCGGTGGGTCCCTACATTCCATTAGCACCTGAGGGAATCCACGGATTTCATCACGTCTATGTAAATTAAGATGCTTTTCAAAAACAATTCACCCTTTTTATAAGCTCTTTTGCTACTTAGCTATACATTCACTTGTGTTTAACTAGTATCTAACAGACCTATTTTCAATTCTGGGTACAGCGCAAATGGCCTTATAAACTCACGACCCTACAGTGAAGTACTGACTGTCTATGCCACCCTGGGAGACTACGTGACATCTAAGAAAGTCTAAGATATAGGAGACAAGGCAAGTACTTTACTCATCAGAAGAAAAACTTGGGTCCCACCCACTAGATAAAAATCCTCAGGGAGTGGATCACAACATCTACCCCTTGAGAGCAAGACCAACCTAGGATTTCTAGGGAACCCCTTCAAGCGGTGTTTCTCAAACTTTTTAGCTGGAACTTTTAAGAAGAAATCTTTTATTGTATCATGACCTGGTACATACACCTGCATATCTCAAACAGAAGTTGTGAAAAAACAGTACTCTTAGGATATGTGTGTACGCCGGTATTACCTATTCTCGCCTGTTCGTTTTTTTGTGTTTTTTTTTTTTTAAGACAAATTCTGGTCACAACTCACTAAATTAATAAACATGACTCACTGCTTGAAAAACTCTGCTGTAGGATACTAATTCTATTCAAAATACCCTCTGCATCATAACGATGTCTTTTCTAAAATGTGGCAGATGGTGGTGATCGAATGAATTCATCTTGAATTGTATCTCAAATACTAAAAAGTCCTTTCTCAGACCAAGCAAATACAAAACTCACCAATTACAAAATGACTACAAATCTTCCCAGTAAGTGACTCAGGGCTGCGGGCTGACTGTCATACCCCCACAAGAGGCAGCCAGGCAGGCCCCCATACCTCATCCGGTAGTGGAGCCGGAGGGATGTCTTGTCGTCAACAGTGATGGCGCGATTCGGGGCATACCAGAGCTTGCTGTTCTCGTCATACAGGGCAAAGAGGTTGTGACACAGGGGAGAGATACCTGGGCATAGGTAAAGAACATATCAGAAAATTAAAGACAGATACAGTAGGCCATTTGTTCCTGAAGCAGGATGTAAGAAAAGACAAGGAACTCTATCTGAAGAATCTAGGTCACATTTTTATCCTTTCAGGGCAAATATGACTTCCAACCATGTTTAATCAGGCAGTTTTAATCATGATAATTTAGAACCATGGCTCCCCAGGAATATGCACTATAGCTCCTGGCAAACCAGATTAAACCCATTTGAAAATAAAAGTCTAACGGTATTTCTCATCACGGTGTCTATGACAGTCTTAACAAATCATGCCTAAAAGAAAAAATATGCCAGCCCACATTTCCAGATCCCACCTGATGGGCAGGCACCTTGCTAATCCTAGCAACATTCTTGGAGTTCGGGAAATCCCCAATCTGTCTCCTACAGAAATGTTTTACAAATTCTAACACACTCCGATTATGCATTAAACATGCAAAGAAGTTCCTGGCAGTAGTACACGAAATCATGAGTTAGAATAAATAACCAAATTGATTTTTGTCAGTGATAAAAATCTATTACTATTAATAATAAATACACTTCTTAAGTACTCTGTATAGTTATCATAAATATTTTTTATTAGTAGCCAACTAATAAGAAGATATATGCTTAACAAAAGTGGTCCTATAGTGAGTGCTCCCTTGCCTCCCCCCCACCACCAACTGCCTCCTTTGATACAGGAAGGGTTAAAAAGACAAAGGAGATCCCCAGGCCAGGAAAGCACCTTTCCACTTACTTCTGAGCCCATAATTAAAATTACACAGACTTGTGATCTAAAAGCATGGGGGAAGGGAAGAAGGTGGTGATTGCACATACTCAATTATGACTGATATTTTCATGCATGACCAGGCCTCAAGCTAAGATACAGTCAACTTAACCGAAAAATATATGGAAGTATAAGGTAATCGGCACTTCCCAAATCCGAGAAATCTGAAGAGAGACAGACACTGACAGGGACCCTTACCGCCCCTGCCCGTCCATTTAGCCACCAACTCTCTCCAGCACACACACTGAGTAAAGATGCAACAAATGCCTTGGCATCCTGATGCCCCCTCACTGGAAGCCCTCAATTCCTTCTGCTCAAGGTATCTGGACTCATCCCTCAGAAGTCCCTTACAACAGAGAAGATGGGGGTAAACTTCAAAGAGCATTTTTCTTTGGGAACAAAAGCAAATGAGTTCTAGATCCAGTATTGTTAAGACTATGTTTTAGGTATACTATAGTTGTTCATTCATGAATTGGCCCTTCTGAACCAGCCTGGAAACCCACCTCTCTTCACACGTATGCAGATTTGAATGTGCCCTGACACGTACATACTGAAGCGTAATTTGTAATCAACAATATGTATTCTACCACAGGTCTGACTTTAATACTATTCATACTTATAAATAGGAAGATCAAAGATAGCTTTTTATACGAAAGTACTGAATAATGGTAACAGCAACACTAACTTTTACTGAGAGTTAAGTGTCAGGCATCAGGCTAACACACTGTACACTGATAATCTTTTAATCCTCTTGACACTTAATGAGGTAATTAATGTCTTTGCCATTTTACAGGTGAAGGAACTGTGGCCTCCTGAGATTTAGCCTAATTCAAGGCTACTCGGCTAATAAAATGCAGAGTTACGATTCAAACCAAGACAGAGGTAATGAGGAAGTAAAATAATGAGAGCTGAAAGAACAAAAAGAGACCATATCTTTAATGGACAACAGAGAAGAAAACAATACTGCCTCTAAATACCACTTACTATAATAATAAGCAGAGCTATAAGAACATGTGGCATTCTGTACTCATACACTTTTAAAATTAATAAATGTTTGCAACACTCCCCTGAGTCAGTTATCAAAGAGCCCACTCATTCTCTCCAGACTAGGCTTGGAAGCTGGTGCCCTACACCGACTGGCCCTGAGCCCGAACCTACAGCAGACTCAGTGGCTGCATCTGCCTGTGGACTCAGGCTCTCTCCGGTCTTCTATGGCAGCAGCCCCTTGCTCTCTCATTAACTGCAGCCCAGCAATTCTGTACAAACACCATGGCTGGGCTAACAGAATAAACACTATAAACCAAACCCCAAGGGAAAGGAGAAAAAAAACACCACCTTAAAAAAATACATTAGAAGCAATAATTTACATCTAGTTGTTTTGCTAATTACAAATCCTTTTAAAGCTGATGTCAAAAGCTGGTTCCTTATATACTTCGCTATCTAGTCAAAACAACTTTAAAAGATTAATGCATTTCCCCCCTCATAATTTACATAGCTCAGCTGATTTTATCTAATGTCGTGTTTAGTTAGTAAGGGCCTACTACACACTCTTCCCTGTAGCACCAACCTCTCCCCTTTTATTGGAACTCTGGTATTTAAAGCATTTGAGGCAGATATATAGATAAAGATATATAAAGAAAAATGGGTTCCTAGACAAGCTGTATCACAAACTAGGTAAGTATTTCTTGAAATGTCTCCAGTATCCCAATATAATGGTCCTGAGGTCTAAAGATGATATATAAATGAAACACGGATAAGACCACTGGCCATCATCGTTAGTCACAATCATCATCATAAAATAGAGTTTTTTTTTTTTTAGAAACAGATTAGGATATAACTTATATATTATAAAGCCTACCCATTTTAAGTATAAATTTCAGTGAATTTTAGTATATTTACAGTTATACAACCATCACCACAATCCCAGTAGATCAGATCATATATTTATGTTTCTATGATTTAACTTTACTAGTCATATACAAGGAGGTAGAAAAAAAGCTATGACTGATTCCAAGTTCAAAGGATAACAAAGAGGGCTTCATTTTGTTATTCAATTTGGTTTCTCACCTTCCGAGGGCAACAGGCTAACTTAAGTAAGACAAGGTTCACATGGAGGGGAAAAAAAATAAAAGACCATGTTGTTCACAGCCTCACTGCCCTTTTTACAAGCTGGCATTCTGACCAAGCCACAAAGTGACACTCAACTTCTCACTTCAAGTCAGAATCATGGGGGAGGGAGCAGATTAAAGTGGCGAAAGGAAGGATCACGCTTTTCAGAAGTTTTGAACAATCATTCAGATATTGAGAGATGCCATTACTGAGCCTGTAACTTTGTACTCCCTGTTTTTATTCATTTAGTGACGATATGATTCCAGTTTCCTAGAGGTAGGGGAAATAAAAACTGAGCTTCCACAGCAGGCAAGCACCATTCCCTGGTATCCCAAAGTCATGAGTGACAGAGCAAGAACAAGGCATTTTACGATCAAGAAAGTGAAAAGTCAAACTCCCAGAATTAAAATCACTGGCCTACAGTCAAATGCAAGTAAGTGGCAGAGGCAGGGCAGAACCCACACAGCAGAGTTCTGGGGGGGTGGGGGGGGGCAGAGACACTGGGATGCACCTGCTGGACAGCAGAAATGTACCCCGGGCAACCAGTACTCACAGCATTCCTGCGCCGCCCTGATGCAGATCTCCTCCGCGGTGTACTCTCCACTGCCCAGCCGGAGGGGCTCCCTATCAGAAAGATAGAAGAGCACTTCCACTCCTGGCTCAGGGGCCTCCAGATTCACCTCCGTCTTCTTGGAGCTCCTCATTTTAGCACAGAAAGCCATGGCATTGCAGTCCTCTTTTATATTTAGATACTGTAGTGGAAGGAAAAACAAGACCGTGTGGTCATTCTATGTGCTAAAAGTTCGAGTGGTGCAAGAGAATGTCAGGAAGGTAATGGAAGCAGGCAGAACTACCTCTCAAGCAATTTAAGTACCTCTCCCTGCACCTTCCCTCTCTGAAAATCAAACGCATCAGAACATATAAGAGGTGAAATGATCCACTCTAATTACACACATAATCCATTATGCATTCTAATTATGATTAGATCATGTTCTCAAAAATAAGAATAATTTTAGACACAGCCTAAATTTGTTTTCTCTATTGGCACACAAGTAGTAGTTGAAAAATGTGGCTCATTCTGGAACCACGGTTGTTGATGCTGCAGCTAGCTCTACCAGAATCATTTCACTTCTGAATTGACCCATGCCACAGATCGAATGGTCTTTTAACTTTGTCTATCTCCCACTAACCAGGAAGCTCAGTGAGGGCATGAACCATGTCTTTTCTATCCTCATGCCCCCTGAGTCTAGCCCAGGGCTGGCTCTGAGATGGCACACACAAAGGGACTACCAATTCGGGCTCATGAGCCATATGGAAGTGTCTTGAAAATTAATGAACAGAGCCAGGTCCCTGTCACTGCATGGGCAGGTATGAGGATGGGAACCACTTTGTGACAGGAGAATGAGGGCTGGAAGCCTTGCTTCAAAGAGGTCAGAACTTGCTGGTGAGAAACTCGTAAATAAGTCATTCACCTCTGCTCCCCTCTAAAGGGAGGGTAACAAGGATTGAAGAGCCAGCCTCAGCTACTAGCCTTAGACGAGGCAGAAAGTAGGGGAACAAAGGAAAACCCTATACATTTTTTCTTCCCCTCACTCTGACACCAATCACCTACAAACTAACTTCCCTGACCCCACGTTTCTACTTTCCTTCTGCCTGCCAAGCCAACCTTCACTTGGCCCTCAAAGTAACGTCTCTGTAACACATATCAGATCCTCCAAAGGCTTCCCATTAATCTACAAGTGCCATCTCAAACTCCTCACAGAGCCCCTCCATTGCCTGCCAACTAGCTTCCCACCCCACCCCTCAACCTCATCTTCCATTACTCCTAGCCTCTGACTTCACACCTGAAACCAACAAAGCTGCCATTCATCGTTCTTGTCACTCCAGCTCCCTCCCCATCCTGTTTTTCGCACCTTCCTGCCTTTGGTCATCCTGGTTTCTCTACAGGAATACCTCCCCACTTCATCCTCTTCATGGCAAGCTGCAATTTTCTTTAGAGCTCAGCGTGGACACTACCTCCTCCAAGAAGCACTTAGGAACCTCCATCCCATCCCCTAAGTTAGATGCCCTCTCCCAAGATCACCTCGCTGCACTAACCACACTGGGTTATGACCATCTTATGCACATGTCTGTCTCTCTCAATCATATATGCTGGGAGTTTCTTAAGGGCAAGGACCACGTCACTCATCTAGTGACATCACAGGTATTCCCAGTACCTAGCACATTTAATAGGCGCTTGCAGAATGGCCCAAGGACGCTCCTCCAAACAAGACAAGTCAAAGAGTACGGACAACAGCCACAGGTCTTTTCACCAAACTCATGTGCTTGTTTATTAGCTGCCCTGGTGAGGTGAGATACTTACAGGAGAGACACGAATCGGATATGCCTCAATGCTACAACTGAGAGGCACTCAATTTTACTTGTTTCATCTTGAAAACCAGAATCTTCCAGAACACAGGCTGTAAGACTAGATCATAACTTACCCTGAGGGTTCAGATCAACTGTCAAGGAAGAAAGTTTTTAAACCCAACACTGAGCTCCCAACTCCACCCCACAATGAAAAATAGACACGGAAAACAAAACAGCTGCAGTCTGCTTTATGTAAGATAAGCCTTTGTCATTGAGATCCTATAGAGGCGTGGCATGGGAAGAACTCAGAGATGTGGTTATACCCTTTCACCCCAAGAAAATGATCAGGTAAGTATACAAATTATATATGTACAAGGTGTGGCACCACTTAAAATAAGAAAAACCACAACTGACAATGTTCAACAGGAGACGAAACAAAACAAGAACAATCAACATAAAAGATTACTATACAGCTGTTAAAAAAGGTGAGATAAAGCTACATGAACCCACACAGGAAGACATATAGGACATACAGCAAAGTGAAAAAAGCATAATATGTATAATATGACCCTTTTGGTCATGCATATGGATAATATGGAAAAACATACAATAAACTGTTAAAGTGCTGAATGTCTAGGAAGGATTATAAGGGAAGTTTACCTTTTACTTTGGAATTCCTATACTTCCATATTCGGGATTTTTAAACCAGCACACTCAAATTTGGAAACGAACAAAAATTAAAATACCGATACTTTGAAAGTAAAGAACATAAGGGCTCATAGCCCTGTAAGTCCAAGATCAGTTTCATTATTCTAAAAGCTATTTTCCTTTTGGCCCTTCTTTAAAAATATGCAAATGTATATACCTGCATTTATTCGGCTGTCCAAAGTCCTCCAAAAAGCAGACTGGATTTTCTTCTCTACTTTCCAAAGTCCGTTTAGAGCTGGGCTAAAAACAAGGATAAATAAATAAATCAGCTGCAGAGGTAATTGCATCAGAAAGTAAGAGGACACTTTTATTAAGGAAGCAGCCCAAACCATAAGTGGGCAGGAAAAAGCATTTAGGAGGAAGAAGGAAAAAAAAAATTGGTGAGGACACTGAGAGGACAGAGAAGCATCTCAGAAGATAACATTTTCACTGCTTCAAGAAAGGAAGCCAGGGACTTTGCTTCCTGGCATAGAGCGGCCTGTCTAGTTTAAGTGAGGACCCTGTGCTTTTCCATCAACAACCTCCCTCCTGAGGCTGTGAACAATAGGACACCCAAAGATACACGCTTTTACTTCCCATTTCCATTTCCTTTAGAATTACCCTCCCCCAATCTGGCCTCATTTTAATGGTGAAATATCATACAGTACGGTGAAAGGGGGAAGGCCTAGGAATAAATCTAATGAAAAATGCTTTTTGTTAACCTAATATTTTTTGAGCCATTCTTCCTTGAAAACTTAGGTAGCAACATAAAGATACCAGCTTGATTCTGTAGAATTAAAGTACCTGATCCCACCATCTTCATCACCAACCACCACCCTCCACCCCTCCAAAACACGCACACAGAACTCTCTATTTTTTTTTTTTTTTTTTTTTTGACAGAGAGAGATCACAAGTAGGCAGAGAGGTAGGCAGAGAGAGAGAGAGGAGGAAGCAGGCTCCCTGCTGAGCAGAGAGCCCAATTCCGGACTCAATCCCAGGAACCTGAGATCATGACCTGAGCTGAAGGCAGAGGCTTAACCCACTGAGCTACCCAGGCACCCCCACAGAACTCTCTATTAACAACTCTCCAGATGCCTCTCACAAATTTTTTAACAGTAGAATCAAATAATTTTTGCAACTAAGGAGTAACCACCCTTAGTGGTTTCCGAGTTAAGACAGATTACGGTCTGTTTTCTGTCATTCATTCAATAGATTTCATCAGAACTCTACATTGGGAAGTGCACAATCCCAAGCAGTACATGGCAGAAGTACAAAGGGGGCGGGGAAAAGGAGATGAGTATGGGTAACCTGCAAGGCTGCAGGCCAGTATTCCCACAGGACCTTACGATCAAAGTGGGAGATGGCACAAATGAAAACATAAAAGCAATCTAAAATCAATCCTGTCACAATGTCATCTTCTGGAGGCCAGGAAGAGGATACAAGTATGAATTTTGATATGACAATTTCGACTTAGCTATTTTGACAGGGACAATGTTAACAAGAGTCAAAGATTAAATCCTTATACTCTCAGGTTTTAAAAATTTAATATAATCAATTATTTTAATTATGTGAACAGATACCCTGCCCTGCATCAAAAGAGCAATGTGAAATTAGCTACATGCTAATTAACACTTTGCTTCAGCTCAGAATCAGAGTTTCAAATGTCACATTTAGGAAATTCATTATTTTGAGCAGTTCTTCATTGCCAGAAACTGACCTATATTAGGAGGCCACAATAAAGAAAAGGAACAATATGGTCCCTGCTTACATGGAGCTGACAGTCTACAGTGGAATCAAACAACGATGCACATAAAGGGGTAATTATACAGAGCTTAAAAGGCCATGATGGAAAAAGAGAGAGATATAATAAGAAGAGTGTCATCTAGTGCAGGACTCAAGAGCGAAGTAATACTGAGCTGAGATACAATGGATATCCAGGGAGGTGGGAAGAAAACAGTAAAGGATTAGCATGTGCAAAGGTCCTGTAGAGGGAAGGAGCTAGTCTCATCTCTCCTGCTTCATAAATGGGAAAAACTCTCCAATACTCTTTTTCACCTGGGCAAAGCACAGCACTATTGGTTCATCAGCAGTATTTGCTAACAACACATCTGGGGCCTCTCTGAGTATTCCTGGAAGCATGCTATAATATGCTACTGCCTCGGAGGAATGAAAATGGACCAGATGGACTCCATGCTCTAAAGCATTAAGAAGTCTGCTTCAGGGGCACCGGGGTGGCTCAGTGGGTTAAGCCTCTGCCTTTGAGCGGCACTGCTCTCTGCTCAGCAGGGAGCCTACTTCCCCCCTCTCTCTCTGCCTGCCTCTCTGCCTACTTGAGATCTATCAAATAAATAAATAAAATCTAAAAAAAAAAAAAAAAAGCCTGCCCCAAATCAGGAAAGGGACACATGCTCAAAGCTTTTCAGATCAGGAAGAGAGCTATAGGTTCCACCAGCCCCCCAGCTCTTTAACAAAGACTACAGCATAAATCCTTTTATAACTCACAAAGGATTTTAAAATGCACCATCAGATTGCATATTATAACTTGAACTCAAAAGTCACAGGGTTGTTCTGAGCCTCATCTAAGATTTGAGAGTCAGCCAAAAATTACCAAGGTTTTTCTAGAACTAGGATTATATGAAAACCTATAGGAGAGTTTGCTTTTTCCATTAGCCTTCTCTACTGCAAGCCACACTATATTGAAATCAGAGAGTACTTAATTTTCAAACTGACCTCCAGTATTACTGGACAGGACAATAAAATGGTATTGATTTGTGGCGCTAGCCTAGAGATTAAACTCTTAAGGAAAACAGGATCAGTAACAGAATTTCTAGATAATACACATTAACTACGATGTTTTTATATGCTGATTCAATAACAAAATCTCTGCTCTCAAAAAACTGACACTCTAATGATAAAAATGTAAAAACACCCATAAAGCACTTAAAAGACATGCTAGACACCGTTCTCAGTACTTAAATCTAAAATTGCTGATCCACTTTATATGAAATGACACCTGTCCTCATTCAGGATGATAAGTTTTTTGCTGCTACAGACTGTGCAAAAGCTTCACTCAAATAACATCTCTTTTCACATAAAGCAAGCAAGATGCTCTCTATTTATTTTAAGAACAGGTAGGAAAGAGCAAGATCAGTTTATAAATATGCTGGATAATTCCAAGAAATCAATTTAAGTTTCTTGTTACAGATACAAAAAGAAAATCTTTAATGCTAAAAAAAACTGACCAGAAGGAATCGCACGATACCCTTTAAAAATAATAAGATTCACTGGGTCCCATTCCCAAAGCAAAGAAGCTCAGAAAATGGGAAGAATAAGAGTGAGTAATCAAAAGCTCTTTGATAATAGCAGTGAATTCTTCCACACTAATTTACTTACAAAATTTCAAGTTTTTGAAAAAATTGCTTTTCTTTCTATGATCAGAGGACTGCTTTCCTGGTCTTGTAGATGTTGCTTTTCATTAAAAAGGGGGGGGGGGCGCAGGGAAATTTTGTGGGGTCTCACAATTCTTTGATTTACAAAGTCTCATACAGGAGACAAGTATATCCGATACTTCCTGAATGAGGAAGGACTAACAGAAACAAAACACAACTCTGTGGGTCTGAACAGGGCTTGGCTACAACAGAGGAATTTTACAACTATTTTCCAAGATGTTAAACTCCTAGAAATCTATTAGTCTGAAGATAAAGAACTCTTCTATCTGTCAAGGACATCTTTTGAAATACAGGTATCTGTGTAAGGGAAGAATATACAATTAAACTTTGAATAGTGAAGAGACATAGAAATAGACCATGTTAATATTCATAAGTATGATCAGAATAGGATGGCTTTTGGCCAAAGGCCACTGTCAGATTTACACGATAAAAACAGACTGGATGATGGTTAAAATCAATGACAAGAGTCAGACTACAACACTTTGGGTATCTGATTGTTTTTACTAAAACATACACAGTGAGTCACTATATGTACACCTTAAAGGAATCAAAGCTTTTGGTTTGGTTTCTGAAGTAGAAAATACAAAAGTTGAAAGTTAAAGTATAAACCTAGAAAAATTGAAAAGAAAAATATGTAATTTAGAAATATTTCCTGAAATCAGCTGCCTAAAAAATTTTAAGACTAAATTTCTTAGACCTTAAAAAACTATTTCAGCAGGCACAGCCCTAAGGTCAGGGTGGAAACCTAACATAACAATACAAACTCCACGAGGGCAGGGACTTTTGTCTCTTTTGTTTAGTGCTGGTCACCAGCACATATTAGGTAATCAATAAGTAATCAAATACAGCTGAATCTTGAACAACAACAAAGGTTAGGCACACTTGCTCCCACACCATCAAAAATCAGCCTATAACTTTTTATTCCCCCCCTCCAATTTAACTACCAATAGCCTACTGTTGACTGGAAGCCTTACCAAAAACGCAGATAGTCAATTAACACATATTTGTTTGTTTTATATATTAACATACTGTATTCCTATAATAGAGTCAACTAGAGAAGAAAATGTTATCAAGAAAATCTTAAGGGAGGGGTGCTCAGGTGGCTCAGTTGTTAAGCATCTGCCTTTGGCTCAGATCATGATCCTAGGGTCCTGGGATGGAGCCCCACAGCCAGCTCCCTGCTCAGCAGGAAGCCTGCTTCTCTCTCTCCCACTCCCCCTGCTTGTGTTCCCTCTCTCGCTGTGTCTATCAAATAATAAAAATTTTTTAAAAAATTAATTTAAATGGAAAATCATAAGGGAAAGAAAATACATTTATTTATAGCACTGTACTGTATATTTTTTTAATGTATATAAGTGGACCCATGCAATTCAAACTTCTGTTATTTAAAGATCAACTGCAGTTGTTAAAGGAAAGATGAAGGTAACAAAGTAAGCAACATTACTGAGCTGATACATCACTAGCAAGTGTGCCCCTGGACAAATCATTTTAATCTCTGAGCCTCAGTTTCCTGATCCCTCAACCTGAGAGGAAACATCCTGCCTCAAGTATCAGAAAGATCTTTCAAAAAGTTTTCATCGAGCTCCTACAATGCCTTTTTCAAACAGGGCTGTTGATGTGGAAGTGCCCAGAAAGGTGTTAAGTGCTAAAGCAATATATTGTAGGCTTCGTGGCAAAGGCCTTAGGCTGTGAGCCTGTTTGAAGAACAAAAGAATACACAGGGATTCAGAACAAAAGCCGGGCCATAAATGAAGTTCCACTTCATAAATCTAGCAGGGCAGTGAAGAGAGTGAGCCATCCCGAGCGGCGTGT